GTACAAAGTGTGCATCTCTATTTTTGTAACCAACGAACAAAGCACTTCAGTCAGTCTCTTTGTTGTTTTTTTATTCATTTGTTAAAACAATAATACAATACAAATAAACAAGTCGTGTTTTTTAAACATTCATTTTATTCATTTGTGAAAACAAAAATACAATACAAATAATAAATCGTGTTTTCCTAATGTTTTGGTGTGTTTCGGTTGTTATAATAAAATACGCTCAACTGGAGGTAAACAAGCAATGGAGAATAAAATACGCTAAAATGGAGGTTTACCCCCAAATTGTTTGTCACAATACATTGTCATCGAGTCTAGACCTACGTGAAAACTTTTGAAGAAATCGGTCCGGTAAAAGTGACCTTTTTTTTCAGAAATCGGAAATAGTGTAAAAGTAATACATCCATTCACCGGAACTCACTCAAAATTTGAGAAAAACCAGAGATTAAAATCTTCTACCTATTTTTAAAGTCTCGTCCACCAAACTATAAAAGTACTCAAATTATCTGTATTTTAGAAACCAGAAATATAGTAAAGTACAACTTCCGGTTATCGTATATTAAAGAAGTAAAAAATGGCCAAAAAATACCGCGACGTCATTTTTTGACGACACGTATACGGAATTTAAACCAGCTGGATAACTCGCTACAACAACACCTGACCTAAATTCTAAAGAGAACTAAATCTGCAGGGGTGGGGGGGGGGGTTGGACACTGGTATGAGAATTATATTTTCTATATAAACTCCACTTCGTCCCTCTGAAGAAATGCCTGGAAGAAATTCTGTGTAGACCTACTGGAAGAAAGTGCCGAGCATAGAAAGTGTAGCGTAGACCATTTATTGGGGTCGGCGTGGTTGGTAAAGCTCATCGTTTTTAAACCGAAAAGTTCCAAGTTCGAACCCCCGTGTAAATAAGACTCGGTAGCTTGGGACAGCAACCTATCTAAGAGAGACAACTTACAAATCAAACTAACTGCTGCCTTGTAGTATGTTCTTGGTTGGACAAAGGCTGTGGAAGCAAATCCAAAAAGAAAATCAGGCTAAAATCAGAGTCAACGACCCATATGGCGCATAACAAGTTGACGCATATTACGTAATTTGTTTGGAAGAAATACCATGTAACAATGCAATTAAGAACGGAGGAGAAAAAGGAGAAAAAAAAAAGACTGTCACCAAATCTGGAGACAATCATGCAGTTTGGCTTTTTTATTCCTTCAATACAAAAATATTAAGAACGACAAATAATATGACCTATAGGGCAAAAATCGATCATGCAGACGGTAATTGATTGAAATATTATCTTAATCAGTATATTCTCCGAAAAAGTTAGAGACTTTTAAACTGTTAATTTTTTTTTAACATTCTAAAAATGGTAAAATGCTATGGATCAGGATTGCTTAAAGGTAGCCTACTCAAAGTACCGTTCAATGAAAATGCCGTTGTGTGAAATGTTTTATTAAAGAACTAAATGTTTTTCCAAATTTTTTTCTAACAATACTTGTTGCTTATGCCTGTTTATTCTTTAATAAGAAATATTGATTTATAAGTTAAGAACATAAAAACAACGACTATCCAGCAATAACACAAAAAAAAAAATAGAACACATTTATTACTGCAACATATTTTATTAAAACATCTGAGATACTTTAGTCTTCAAAAATTAAAGCTGAAAATGAAAAATGCAAGCCAAAAATAATAACACCCCCAAGCAAAATAATTTACTAGAACAAATAAATTTGGAATGATTCTGTATCGCCCAGCCACTATCAGAGCGAAATCCCACAATCAGTGCTTTCTCTGGGGTTCAGACATAAAGAAAAAGATAGGAAATGCAAATTTTTAATGTATACTTTAACCATTACTATAATTTGCAAACCCCCCAGAAGATTGACTTTTAAAAAAATCCCAGCCCACAGTTGCAAGTGACAAAAGTATTTCGCAACCCAAATAGCCAGCACGCTGACTAAACCATACTCATATAGCAAATAATTTTATTTTTCACAGCACTATGACTCTCATATCCTGGGTAGTTAGTTAGCACAATATTCATGTACAAGCTTAGTTCTCTATTCACGATAACAAACAATATTTAATAATAACATGGAATATTTATGATGGGTGTTAAAGTATTTAGACAAGATGAGAACCACTGGCATAGATCACATACAATAAAGGTTATAATTAGTTACTTCTTATTTATAATATTTATAGAATATTTTTATTTCATAAAACTTGTAATATCAGACAATATTAAAATATTAGAATTTATAACAAAACGTATATATATAAACAGAAGAATTATTTACAGCACCCATTTAAAGTTTGTTTGATGGAAGGGTAAAGCCTACAGCTCCAAAATATTCACTCAACCTGATCTAGCTTTCATCAAGCCAAAGTAACTAAAGTGGGACAAAAAAGCCAAAATAATTAAGTGGGACAAAAAAAGCCAAAGTAACTAAAGTGTGACAAAAAAGGCAAAGTAACTAAGTGGGACAAAAAAGCCAAAATAATTAAGTGGGACAAAAAAAGCCAAAGTAACTAAAGTGTGACAAAAAAAGCCAAAGTAACTAAGTGGAACAAAAAAAGCCAAGGTAACTAAGTGGGACAAATGAATTATTAATGATAACTCATGATGGAGAATTGTAATTTAGCAGCTATGATGCATTATTGTGATATTTTGTCATAGGGTACTTTTAGTTTGAGTGTTGATTTCAATAGTGAAGACTAGTTAACAAAATTGAGAGATTAAGTCTCGGTAAAATCTAGGCAAAAATGTGATCATGAAAAATGTTAACAGTAAAATATCTCTCATTGTTTTACCATTGTTTTCCTGTATATACTTTCTAGTTAAAATTTAAAAAAAAACAATATAAATGTGCAACAAATTATTAAATAAAATACCTAAAATCCCAATTTTGTAATATTAGACCTTTTACTCATATTTTGGTGTATGATAAAATTAAGGTGCAAAGTCATAGATCACATTTGTAAAATGATTAAACCTAACATCAACCATCACATTTTAACAATGAATCACCACTTAGAATCACATTTGTCAAGTGAATCTGCTTGTAATCAAGTGTCAGTTTTGTAAAGTTCACCACAGAATATTTGAAACCAATCATGCTGGTTGTTTAGGTTATATGTGTAACATAAAATTCCAATATCTTTTCTACATATCACATTTATTATCAGCACTTGCTTCCATCTTGTTTAAAATTTGTAAAACAATAACTATTTTTTTTAACAATAAACTATAAAATTCAAATATTAAATAAATAAACATACAAATAAACCTACACAAAATGAACGACTGATAAACTACAGACCTTAAACATTTTAAATAGCTATTTACAAAGACTAGTCTGTATATGAAAACATCTATTATATGAAAACATATTTTTTTGGTACATGGCGTTGCAGCATCAACCATAAGGGTGGGAACAATTAAAAGTAATTTGCAAAAACAGTTTATGAAAGCAATATAATTTCACTGTACGTGTAGACTGAACTTAAATCTGTTTAGTGTTTTTGAGTCCATCCAGCTCTGACAAGTACCTGACTAGAGTTGGGAAAGTAAAGGCAAAGGGGTGTAATGCAGACCACACAATTCTTTCATATGCCACCACATTAACTTTGCCCATCTGACTTTCGGGTCTGAAATTGTGCTTTTCATTTTACTTGACCTAACAAAAACATGGTTTCTAAATACAACACATTTTAAAGTAATTATTTACATGTCAACATTGCAAATAAATATTTGTTTTTCTTCAGCTTACAAAACTACACTTCATCAACAAGAAATAATATGAATAATTAAGCAAATTCATATAATTAATGTTTTAAATACAAAATTTGTTCTGATGTATGACAAAAAAAATGTGTTTAAAGCCAAAGAAAAGCACACATTAACAGATATTTTAAAATGCTGTCTGCAGCTACACTAGATGATTAATAAAAACTATTTTTGTTAAAATTCTTTATGCATCTTATGTTAAGGAAAACTCATACAATTGTGTTTTTTTAAGGATAATTAAAATATTTCTTAAGTTTTTCACATATTGTTATTTTAAAGAAAATGAAAATTTTGTTTTGTTGTAATGCCAGTATTTTTTGCCACATTAAATCAATTTGTAGATTACACAGCTTACAGTACTTGAGATTTACAGAAAAGCTAGAAAATGTGGCCAGATAAATGTTCATCTAAAACGCCATGTGGGTTGTTTAATTAAATTAATTTTCAATACATTTTATTTTAAAATTTAGGTAAGAGAATCAATAACTACATATAAATTTAATAATTAAGTCTAATGTTTATACACAAGATGTAAGGAAACCCTGTTATGTATTTGCAACATTTTAACATTTGAAAAAATAAAAATTAAGTTTATTAAAATTGACTATAAAACTCTCTAAAATAAAGTAGGCTTACATAATATTATACCTCACTATTATTTACTTCTAAAAACACAATTATGGATTTACAATCCAAATAAAAAATGTCCCAGATATTTAAAGCTAAATTTATGAGTAAATCTATCTCCAGGTGTATTAGCATTGATTAAATACTTGACTAGTAGTTTTGAAATAAATTTTGATCACACAATTGTTAGGAGAAAAAAACTCCTCCTTAAATTGAAATATTTTTAACTATTCTTTTACAAAATTTGTATATATTTATATAATTTAGCCTACAAAAATAATTTACTTCTAAAATTATTCAAAAAAGGTAATTTTTCACAGTGAGATAAGGACAAAATATAAAAATGAAGTAAAATATCAACAAAAAAAGTTGAGCTTACATTAAAAAAATAAAACTGCAAAATATTTGTGGGAGCAGATTTTTCTATACAAATACTGACATAGAAACACCTCAAATATAAACTTCTAAACATTAGTCTGAATTATTTATTTGCAAAAAGTGGCATCAATATTGACTGCACCATTACTGTATATGCAAATAAAATTCAACAGTTTTAAGAAATTTTTTGGCATTTACAATTTTTCTTTTTAATAACATACATTAAGTTGTAGAATCATAACAAATTTGTGCAGCGAAAACTTTCACATGTTGTATCAGAAACTGTTACTTTGTGCACTTTTTACCATACAATTTTTTTTTGTTATTTACCCCATAATAAAATATCAAAATGTATTCTTAATTATGGTAGCATTATTGCACAAATTGTTAGAAAATTGTTTGTGAATAACACCCAAACAACAGAAAAATAAATCAATTTTTTGGTGATAAATATACTTCTGTAAAGCTTTTTAGTGACTTTTAGTATTGATTAGGTAATTACATTTCAGAAAAATAAATGGGGTAATCATATGGATAGAGGAGATTATGCTCCAAAGTTATACCAGTTAAAATCAAATCACACCAACTTTGAAGAATTGTCATTTTTTTTGTAATTTAAAATTCATCCGATTCAATTTCATCATCAGCGTCATCCCCACTTCCGCCCACCAAACCTTTTCTCTGTTCTGAGTCTTCAGTGCTGCGCGGCTGGGTGTGGTAGTTGATGAGCACCATAACGATGTAAAAGACCGTACCTGTGTGTTAGACATATGTTTTGTTAGTGGCAAAATTCAATTAGAAACTCCCTTTTTATAGGTGTGTAAAAGAGTGAATGAGTTTGAATCCTAGCCAGAAAAATTGGTATTTATATCAGTTGGACAACCCGAAATGAAAATATTTTTCATAGGCATTACGTTTGATCAGTTTCTCACAGGGATGTTGACATGTTGTATAGCATGTGGTCTAATCAACAATTGGGATTCTCGCAAACATAATCAATATCCCAAGAGTTCAAATATTATATGTTAAAATAGCTACACTTTTAGGCTCTAATTTAACAATGTTGGCCATCTTAAAAAGGAGTATTTTTATGTATCACAGTAAAGTGAAGCAAAAGCTTGTTTAAAATAAGGGTTGCTATAGTTAACCAGGTGCAAAGTTCGCAAAGACAAAACATTCTATGGAGTAACTATTAATGTGAAATGTCATTGTTATATTTTTAACTCACCTGAAGTGGCAAGAATGACAGGTATGGTTTAACTCACCTGATATGACAAGAATGACAGTTTAACTCACCTGAAGTGACAAGAATGACAGCTTAACTCACCTGAACTGACAAGAATGACAGTTTAACTCACCTGAAGTGAGAAGAATGACAGTTTCAATGAAACCATTGAGGTCCCCAGATGAGAACAAGAGCAGGGAACTGCTGAGTATTGACAAGGTGGGCACCAGGGGCATCAGTGGGGTCTGAAACAGGGCATTGAAGTTAAGGCATCTTAAACTGGGTGATAGGACACAGAATCAATGCACATAAATGAGGCACAGAATTAACACAAATTTAAAAGATAGTGTACAATCAAGGCATGCAGAGTTCTCGACAAATGGAAGATATCAGGGATGTCTTGGATTATGGAAGGTTATGGTGGAGGCCCTGTGCTCCACAAGGAGTAAAGAGGATTAAGTCAGGTCAAGACTGTCAATGCATGCATTTTAGTTTAAAAGGAATGTAATCCAGAACTAAGGAATATATAGGAATTTAAGATTTAATAAAAGTTTACAAAAATTATAAAAAGAGTACTTATAGTACATCTATATACTACTAAAACTCAACTTTGTTTACATGTTTGAATATTTATTTGTTTGCCTGATCGAAAATTGTGATATGTTCGACTCTATCTGGAAAGCTGTAAAATGGTATGCAGGTAGAGAATAATTTTTTAATGCAGACAGACTGTTGATCACAAATTTATTTAAAGACGTTAATTAATTTATTGATTTATTCCTATGCAGAATAACCCATTTTTTTTTAAAATATTTGAAAAGCCACTAGACTCGGCGGGACCGTGACGTCACAGGTTTTTGTTTACTCTTTAGTACAATAAAATGGCGGCGTCTATTGAAGAAAATTGTGTTCCCATTCAAAAGTTTAACGCGTTCTAAATCTAATTTTCTGTCGGTTATAACTTTAACAATACGTCCGTTTGCTGTATTTATTACGTTCCAACACTTATATCAATTTTAAACTGTCTTTTTTCATTTAGTTTTACAATAAATTTCTCTAGATCTAAAATCTCTAGATCTATGCGCGGAGACTCAAAAGTATAGTATAAAAATTCATTTGTGACGTCACGAGAAAATAGCTAAGTTGGTAGCGTAGCCCGCTCTCATGTGGGTGGCACAGGTTCTAGACCAATATGTCAATGATATTTTTTTTCAATTTTTTTTTTAGATGTGAATGATAAAGTTGCCTATCTGAACTTGGCAGGATACAGGGCAGGTGAAGTAGAGTTCATCTGTTTCTTTGTCCTAAGCATATGAAAGGATAGTGTGGTCAGAGACATGCTCGGCTGGAATCGTTATTTAAACGATAAAAACATGTTGTCTGAGACTTGGCGGGACACTGGGCAGGTGAAGTAGAGTTGAGTAGGTCACATGTGACGTCAGTATATGAAGGGATAGGCCGAAATCGGTGTTTTCGGTGTTTTTAAAAGATAAGAAACATATTTTTGAATGTGGGGTCTGTTTTTTGTGACGATAAGTGACACTTCAGTAGCGTAGCGAGGAGGGGGGGGGCGGGAGGGGAGGCGGGGGGGGGGGGAGGGGAGGGGAGGCGGGGGGAGGTGGAGGGGGGCGGGGGGGGGGGGGACATATGTTGGGGCGCCAAAATGGTTTGGAAAAATAAATTGAAAGGTTGAGGGGGGTTCAAATCGAAAGTTTGAGTGGGGGGGGGGGGGGGTGCACATCAAAAGTTCGAGGGGGGTTGAAAATCGAAATCTTGGGGGGGGGGGGGGGTTAAAATCAAAAAGTTTGTCCCCGGGCGCCGGGAAGGCTCGCTATGCCTCTGAGTGACAGACGTGATGTTTTTTGATGGATGACCCCCGAAACCCACAGTTATCCAACGGATGACGGGTATTCTAGTATAAGATATTTTTCTATTTCTAGTTTTTTTCTTAGAATAAGTTCTTAAAAATATTACACAATAGAGGCAAAAAATGTATTTACATATGAACAACATATCAGTATATAAAACCTATTAAAGATGGCTGATATAAATTTTAACTTGACGCTTAGGAGATTCTCACTCACCTTAAAACCTGAGTTCTGAGTTTCCCCACACTGAGTGCCCAGCAGAAATGACAAGAACACGGCCACTGACATTAAAACAGAGAGTGCAGCAACACTGACAGGCTGGAGTGCCCAGAGGTCCCTCCATCCAAAGTTTATCTGGATGGCCATGAAGAAACAGGTGGCCCAATGCAAAAACATGACAACATTCACGGAGAGTATTCCAGGAATTAAAGGGGAGACAAATAAAGCAGCAGCAGATGCGTATTTTTTATCTCGGATCTCAATCAGTGTTTCTGGTTCAAGTTTTGATAATAAAACTTTAGGGTCTGCTCCAGGTCTGTCATCCTCTGTTTCCTCGTCGTCTGCCTTATTTACATCTGAATCTTGTTTCACTTGAATCTCGTTCATCACTTTTTGCTGAATTAAGAACTGGTTTTGTTCTAAAATACTTGAAACATCAGGGCCGTCTCCAGAACAATGACCATTGAGTTGATCATTTGTTACATCCACAAGCAGGTTATCTCCATGGGGGACAACTCCGTCCACGTCCACACTCTCCGTGCTCTCACAGGTTTCATATTCACTCACCACCACCTCCTGGTCATAATATTCTCGCTCACTTTTCGGCAAAGTTTTCTCCGTCTGGTTTGGGTTGACCCCAGAAAGAAATTTTTGCGACTCTGTGATCTTGAGTTTAATGAGCGCGGCAGCAACTGTGATGTTAGCCAGCAGCATGAGAATCACTGTCTCCCTGACAATGTACGACAAGTCAAACAACAAAGCTCCGATTGATGTGAAAAAACCCACAAAGAACACACTGTTCAACGGGACTCCTGTTCTTTTGTTTACTTTAAGGAACCAATCTATGAAGAGGCCATCTTTAGCCATACGGTAAAGAACACGAGAAAAACCATACACTCCCAGCATCTGTAGATTGGTTATACCAAACAACGGACCAATCACAACCACAATTTTTCCCCACAAGATGCCGTTGTATTCAAAAGCTGATGGTAATGGTGAGCGAAGATCAATTTCCCAGTATGGAATCAGCATCAACATCCCAATAGCTGCACCGACATAAATGGTGCAGACAAGAAGCAGCTCAGATATAATTGCACGAGGTATCGACTTAGCTGGGTTCTTGGCTTCCTGTGCATAAAAAAAAAATGTTTTAAAAGTAAGCTAAAATTGTATATTGCAATCATTTAACACAATATATATAAACTTTGGTTAGAAACACAAACTACATTACTTGGTTCTGGATTAATTTGCTGTACCTGAATATTCATAAAGATACTACCAATAATTATGAAAACATCTTTATGGTGATACAATATGTAGGAATACTTAACAAGTGCCAGTTATGAAAAATGTAAGCAACAAACAATTTCTAAACTAATTATCTTAGATTAGGTTTGTAAAAGGTTACAAGATTTTATTTGAAAAAATAATTACAATTGAATATACACATATGCTCACCTCCGCTGATATTGCGATAACCTCAAAGCCACTTAATGCATAGAGGGCAAGCGTTGCCCCTTTTATTACTCCAGCTACACCGAAGGGGAAAAACCCACCATGATCTTCATTGAGAAGATTACTGCCATGGCCGTACACAAGTCCCATGACAAAGACAAAGACAAGGACAGATGAGGTGAGGATCCCAAGAATGGTGTTAATCACTGAAGAGCACAGGACATTGCAGGACACAATAATAACAACAAAAATCTGAAAGAAGAATGCCAGGACATCAAGAGACTCTGCAAATGGAAGACCAAATTGAATATTTCCTAACACACTGACAGTGTGGGCCTGCAAAAGAAAAAATATTATTATTTTAAACAACTTTTTTTTTATTTCTTATAAGATACAATTATAAGGCAAATGCATCAAAAATATGAAGAATATCACAGTATATTTATTCAGGTTTCTATACTTCTTTTTTAAGAAATTTTTATATCTATCTGAAAAGTTTGGTCTAAAAACTGTTATTGTCTCTTAAAATTTAAAATGTTTTTGCAATGGCAAATAAAGAATAGAACCTATAAATTCTTTCAAAATATAGTTACTAATACTAATTAATGAAGAACTACCTGTATTGTATTGTTAAAAAATGAATCTAGCATTCCACTCCAAGCTCTTGCACCCACGGATGAAGCAAATGCATAGGCTGATAAAAAAAGTAAATCCTTCATTATTTTTAACAAAACAAATCATTTTAGAATACTCTCTATTGTTATGATCTAGTCTAATAAACAAGTTTTATTTTAGTTTTTTTTTATCATTATCATATGGAAATATTTCTTACTAATTATCATTACCCATCCACAAAGAAATGCAGCAAACTCTCCAAAAACCTGTTAAATGAGAACATTAACACATTCATTTTCTTTATTGCAAGATAACTATATTATTGATGTTGGAAACTAAAGTCTTGAGAAAAAAAATAATATAAAAAAATATATAGGGATACCCTGTAAATATAAATGTAGGAAGCTCCAGTATGGGGAATGTAGGTAGAAAATTCAGCAAATACCAGAGCATTCATCATAGTAACAAACATGGCAGCCACAAAGGACAAAACTGTAGATGGTCCTGAAACAAAATACTGGCGATTAAATCAGGTCTAAACACAACTCATAAAGACCATCAAAAGTTAGTGAAATGTGTTCTAATTAATCTATTGTAACCTGCTATTATACATTAGATAAATATAAAATCTCTTAAGTTTTTACCAGCATTTTCTTTAGCAATGACGCCAAGCATGACGTAGATGCCAACACCAATTGTATTTCCCATACCCAGAAGGGTAAGTTGTGGAGTAGAAAGGCATCGCCTTAAATCTGTTTTCATATCATGTTCCCCCACCACCTTCTGATGTAGTATACGCTGATGCAAGTATCCAAGGCGGCTGAGCCTTGGTGAAGATGCTGCCTTCATACTAGTAAAAGTAAAAAAAAAAATTCAATAATTAGTAATATGTTTTGGAATAAAATTCAAAGTCAATATTGTAATTAGGCCTAATAATACTAGAAGATGAAAAGTGTATTTTGCCTTAATTATTAACATAATTATAGGTAGATGTTAGAAGATATATATAGTGACCAGATCTCTAGAGCGGCATTTCTTTCGGATGGCCTGGTTAAAATATTTTTTCAATATCAATTTTATTTTTCTTCGACTTTATCCCCCGGAGAAAAAAGTCTGGAAGAAACACTGGTAGTAGTGGTAGTGGCAGAGTGTAGTTTTAAAATTCTAGTAATGTGAACTTTATTATTATCTTACTATCTATATATATTATATATAGATCTATATATATAAATGAAAGTATGCACCATGCACTTTTGATATGATGGTCTACTATTAATAACCATTGGCTAAATCGAACCAGACGCTTTCGCAAGCGCCCTGGCAGTTGGATGACAAAGAGCACTCTGGGCTCTCATGTGAGCCAATGTCATGCCGACACTGTTTACACATAAATAATTATGTTAATTCAGTTTTAGAAAACAATGTCACACATCTAAAAATATAAAAATACACTATTGGTAACGCATTGAGGAAATACTCTTGTGACACTCTTGTCTGTCTTATAATAATATTGTGAATATTATTGTCACATTGTGTCACTGGTGTCGAGTAGGTCAGTCAGTTCAGTAGGAGGAAGAAGAAGGACAGTAGTTTTATTATTTCAGTCCTCAGACCTTAAAAATAATAAAAAGCCACCTGTTATTGTTTTAGTTTCAAATATAAATTTCTTTTATCGGAAAAAGTTCCATTTTTTAAATCGACTAAACTTGTGTTTGTGTCTAAATAAAAATATGTTTAGTTAATAGTTTGCTAGCAGTAGCAGCCGCAACATTATTGTTTTGTGTGAGAAATAAAATTACATTCTACTGTTTAAAACTGTTAGAACTACTGGAAACGCAAATGAAATTGCGGTAACAACTTAAATTTTGACACCCTGAGAAAAGAAAATAAATTTCGAGTAAGGTAAAAAATTAATGTACAGGGTTTTTAAAAATATTTTTGGATTTCGTTTGTCTTTCTCTTCATTTTAAAGATAACATGATGAAAAATATTAGCCCTTGTAGTTATTCAGTATATATTTATTAAATGATAAATAATAGGTTATAAATTAATGATACACCGGTACCTAGTAAATTTACAAATCCAATGACCCTAACGCCATTCTCACCCGTCAGGTGTTGGTACTTCCGCGTTTCGCTAAAACATTGAAAATGGGAATTCAGGTAGTCCGTTATATTTCGCAAGACTTTTAACTTTTAAACTATTATTTTCTAGTAAACATAGCGTGGGGTATGTGTTATACCAGTGTCTGATAATGTCACACTGCCACGGTAGAACTTTAAATAATAAATAATAGGGCCCTATTATAAATATAATAAAATTAAAAATAGTAGTAGGTCTAGGCCCTATGGCCTACTAACTACTAACTTACTATTAATTTACTATTAACTATAATAGTTCAGACTATACTTTAGATAGTCTATAGGCCTAATAAATTACTAATAATAATAGTAAAATAGTAGGCCTATTGTGATAGTGAATAAAAAGGCCTAGGCCTATACCCTATACCTAGACTAATAGGCCTAAATAATAAATAGGCCTAATATTTTATAAGGTAGTTTTTCTCACTAAATCTAGAATTTACGCAATTATCAATTTAAACATGGCCACTGAATAATAGACATCCATATTTATTATTTAATCCATTAGGCACTAACTTTGGAGTTTTTAGTTCGTTTTAAACTAAATTACTTAATTTAATATTTATTGTCAATCACTGCCATGTCCAACACATCTCTCCATGACAACTCTTCTTAAGCTTGAAGCTAAAGAAAACCACAAATCAAGTTAGACTTTTTAAGTGGCCATGCACAAGAGTTCCTCACTAGTGATCACCAAATAGTGGTCACGTGGTTTTTTTTTTTCAAAAAAAATTTGGTTGTCATTTTTTCGGCTGGTCTCATAAAAAACGGCTGACGATATTTGATTTATTTTTTCATAGACTGATAAAACTAATAATGCTTCAGTATGGAAATCAATTTTGTAATATGGAAATCGATATTTAAAAAGTTCTAGTATTTTTGATGAAACCAACTTTTAAATTTAGCCTTCATTCTCCAACGCAAATTTTAAAATGCTTTTCTGGCATATATAGCCCTGCCACCTATAGCTTGTTGTTATAATGTGAAAGTCCCGCCATTTTGCGCGTGGTAAACATTTTAAATACTAATTAGTAGAAGGTCTCTGGAATTTAGCCGAAAAATCATCGGAAGTCAAGCGTCCGGTCTGGGCGCCATATTGTTGTTAGCAACCGACCACGCCTCCAAGTTAGCGAGTAATACTAATATAAGGTGCGCTATAAAATTAAACGAGTTGAGTTATAGACTAGATCTATTCAATAACTTATTAGCCTATAGTCACTATTGCCGACTAGGTGGAGACGTTGGGGCGAAAAATCTTTTCCGAGTAGTCACTTCGCTTAGAACTTAGCAGCTAGAGTATCTATCTACTAGGCTATATTGTAAATTATATATATGTAAATAATATAGGCCTAGGCCCTTATTTATATGCCCAGTTGGCACATTTTTAATCTCACACATTAATTAACATAAAAATATTTTTAGCCTACTATTTATATGAACATTATATTTCTTGTTTTATCGCAGGCACCTGATAAACGGTTTCTTATTCTGGCAATAGCTGTTGGTGTTGCATATATTGCCACCATTTTTGTTGTCATAGGGCTGTGCACCAACTACTGGATTGAAATCAGGAACCGTAACCTATACAGAGAAGATGTTGTGGCACATTTTGGACTACAACGAGTATGTTGGACTAGCAGTGACCGTTGCACAAATTCCGGCAACGATTATGATAGGACAAGTAAGAAAAATTTTTCTTTCTCAGTTTCATTTTTTAATTCATTGCTGTGTCTCTATTCTTTTTGTAGCAATTACTCTTAAGTTAGTGGTTATGACCAAAGGTGGTTATATACAGATGCCAAGCCATACTATCATACTGTGGCATAAGCATGGACCCCAATTAGACTAGTGTCTTGTATTAAGTTACAAAATTTTGATTCATGAAATCACAATTTTATGTTAACAAAATAACCTGCCTTATACCTAAAAGCTGCTTATCACTAAAATAATATATAGTCTAATTGTATATGGTAAACTGGAGTTCAGCTAACAGTACATAAATCTATTTTTTTTTATGTTGTTGCTTCATTTGGTTCTTAATTCCCCAGACACCACTCCTGCAGCCCAAGGAATTTTGATAACTGGAGGATTTATTGCTGTTTTTGGTAGTTTGATGGCTCTTGCCAATCTCCTGCTTGACAGACTTGGGCGCTCAAGGGGTCTTTTTTCTGCAGTTACTGCTGCCGTTATTGTGCTGTCTGGTATGTCTAATTTGTTTACTGCTCATTTAAAGTTGATGTTCAGTTTTAATTTGCAAAGTGATTGATATTGCTAAACATGAATAAATATATTTTTCAATTAAATAATTTTGTAAATGTTTTATGTTTATACTAAACTAAAGGCTTTATTTATTGATATAATTGTTAATATTACGATATTTCATTTTGACAATTAATCTTTCATTATTTTTCCTAAAATTCACTTCTAGGTCTCTTTTTACTGGTTGGTATCATCATATTTGGAGTGAAAGTGGAGGTGCGAGTAGAACTACTCAATGTTGGTCATGTGCAGTATAAAGGGTATTCATACGGGCTGGTTACTACAGCTTCTATTTTGATGTTAATTTCTGCTGGACTAAGCGCATGGTCTGGCTGCTCTGAAGCTTCACCAAAATTTAAACAATGAACACACACTTTATACAAACTTTTTTTGTACATTTTTACTTTCTCGTATATACGAAGTATAGAGAAAGTATTGTAATCGTGCACAAAAATCACTTGAAATTTTAACAATTTTCACCGTATTACACCTCAGTCCTTCATCACATCCGAAGTACAGAGGACTTATTTTAATCGGGCAAAAATTATCAATCCAGATTTATCAAAATTAAGAGGTTTTATGCGTAATCCATTCTGAAAAACTGGGCTTTGCAATTCTGTCCGTATGTCTGTGTGTCTGTGTGTGTGTGTGTCCGTGTGTAAACACGATAACTTGAGTACCGTTACAGCTAGGTTGATGAAATTTCATATATAAGTATTTAATCAAAATCGTAGATCTGTATCAACTTTTGAGCGATTTCCGATAACCGGAAGTGGTACTTTTCCTACTTTGAATTTTTCAAAAGCCTATAACTTGAGTACTATTTCAGATAGATAAATGAAATTTCATACGTAAGTAAAAGATCTAATTCTCTACCTTCTATTAAATTTTGAGTCATTTCCGTTGACTGGAAGTAGTACTTTACGCTACTTCCGATTTCTCAAAAAACTAATGTAAATTTTAAAAGTAATAATAATATTGCGCACTATTATGCGCTTTTTTATTTCGCGTTCACTTGGTGTGCAATTAATTTGTCTACGAGATTTTATTCTATTTTTAAAACTTTAAGTATTTAAAATGGATTAAAAATCATGTCTATAGCCCGAGTTCCCATCCCCTGTTATTTTATATAAGAATATTCGAGAAAGTTTAGGGGAGATCACTCCCGGTTTATTTAAATCTATTGTGTATTTCCACTGAGGCAGCTTGAGATTAAGAAAGAAAAACAATGAGTTAATGTGACATAGTATTGTTTTTATGTATGTCTGATGCTAAATTTGTCTGTACGTGTTATTTTTAGTACAAAAACTATAAACCTACTACATAATTCTACATTCCATTTTTACTTATTAAAATGTGTAATATATAGATCTGATTATTCTAGGATTATAATAGTTTCAGTTTTGCACTTTTATTTTAGTAGAAAATAAATATTAACTTGAAAGTGTTCTAGATTTCAAAATTGACCATGCTTATAATATGTCATCAGTTTAAAATTAGCAAATATTGCATTGATTTTTTTTTGTGACTGTTTTAAGTATTAAACCAAATCAAGTCCTGACTTATTAAATTTTGTTATTTTTTTTTTAAAAGCAGAAAATGTATTACTATTGAAATTAATGATTTATCAAGTTTATGTAATATTTGTTTATATGTATATAAAGATTTTGTACACATTTGGAACGTAAATAAATATCATTTCTTGTATTGTGCAGTTTTATTAGTTTCATTTAAGTTGATATTTAGTGTCAAGCTTACAGTGTCATCACCTTTTTTCCACACTACACTTTGGACAATACTTTTATTAAACTTTTATACAAATAACAATGAACCTATTACAGCTAAACTTTGCTGGGAGCTTTCATAATATAAATAGAAGTTATGACTTTGATTTAGAAAGCATATTTCATCCTTAACAGTAGGTTATGTCAGATTGTTAACTTTTTTATTTCTCCTTTTTCCCTATGCACTGCTTGTGTTTTTATTTTCGTTGGCATTATTTTCTATAGCTTAGATCTTCTACAAGGTGACCCGTCAAAAGAGCGCCGACATAAGAGCGCAGACAAAAGAGCGCCGACATAAGAGCGCCGACATAAGAGCGCAGTCAATAAAAATAATGTTGTACGCTAAACGAATATGACATGGTTATCACTTGTTTTAATCAAACAATCGGCGAGAGAACAACGTCTTTATTTATATATTATGGTTAATATGTTATAAATGCAGTTTGAAAATATTTCTAACCCAAGTAACATGGAGAAGATCGAATCACAGAAAGGGAAGGTTATTATATTGGTCGAAGGCTACAGATATAGACAGGACAGAGCAAATGCTGATGGAAGTACGACATGATGTACTACCTACGAGGTACAGCCCACAACATAGCATTATAAATGCAACTTATTAATATGAACTTATTTTCATTTTGTTACATTTCATTTCAGTTTATATTCTCACTTTAGGCCAAACATTTAAAATCTGTGTCTGTGTTATTAGATTGCGTTTTGAATAATTGGACTTCACGTTGATTATACCAGTTTTTTAGTTAAAGAAACTGAACAATTCGTTTTTTAATTTAACATCAAACGATGCCTCCTGATCTTAGTTAATTTTCTTGTTTTTATTTATTAAATATGGTTTTTCGATTTTTAGTTTGCGCTCTTATGTCGGCGCTCTTTTGTCGGCAAATTAGTGCGCTCTTATGTCGGCGCTATTATGTCGGCGCTCTTTTGTCTGCGCTCTTATGTCGGCGCTCTTTTGTCGTGCGCTCTTTTGACGGGGTGCCCTTCTACAAACTCATACAGAGCACTAAGTGGTAGCATTTGATATTTATTAACACTAGAACGCTGATAGACTGTTCAGTGGAGATACAGGAAAAGGATCGTAACTAAAATAATCTGCCTTTGATAAATGGATTTATGATTTCTAATAGTGGAGGTCAGCTGTTAAAATGGACAGCTGAACTTTGAAGTTATATTTATTGCCAATTTTCAAAAACCCATAACATTACAAATTACACAATAAACATTTATTTTCTTAATATGAGCTGTAGTTTAACTTCTTTTAATGGAGGTAAAGTAATACAGTGCCCAATATAATATATATCTCAACCTTATATCAAACACATTTGCGACCAATTAACCAAAAATTAAAGGGATTGGGAGTAAGGAAGAACATGGTACAATAGTTGGATTCACATATTGTCAATAAGCTCATGCAGATTGAAAAATAAAAAATCTGGTACCAAAAATCTTAATTTTCTGAGGTTTATTGTACTTTGAATAATAGAAATAAAATATGTTATATATTTATATAAAGTATATTAAGACCTTAAATGAAAAGGTACTTTTTGACCATCGGTTTTTGGAAAAAGAATTCACAAATCACAATTGGAAGTGAAAAGCATACTGTAAAGACTTCTAGTACAATTTAATTTATAAAATAGTCATAGTGATGTGAAACTGTTTTTTCAAGTAAATATGTAGTTAAAACTTTAAGAGTCGATTCGGTCATTTATTGTTGTTTTCGGCGTTGCAACCATTCACGTAGTAAAAATTCTACTTCCGCTACACTCTGACCTTAGGGGCCTAAGATTTAAGCACATGCAATAGTTTCATAATGGATCCTAAAAAGGCTGCGGAATTCGCTGGACGATTGAAGAAAGCTGGACCTAAAGGCTTTGGGGCTGGCTTAGGCATATTTGCACTTGCTGGAGGGATTTACGGCCTAACACAATCTTTTTACACAGGCAAGATGCTAATAAGAAAATGTTCATGTTGGTGAGGTCACGTACCGACAGCAAACGTTTTTTTTTTATTTTTATCAACATTCTGTCTGATGAAATGAATACGATGTTTTTTTTAATGATGCAGTCATTAGAGTCTAGACTAGATTAATAGATCTTGGGGGCCTCTTGTTCTAGAGTATCGGCCTATATTATAAATATTTAGTCATTAATATTTTAAGTCGACCCTTTGTATTAGCGAGACTCACTAACTTAAAAGCGTCCTTGGTTGCTAACCAGAACATGGCTACCACACCTTGGCCTACGATTGGGCAATTTTTTCTGCTTTGTTCGAGAGACCACCTTAACATTAACTTTAAAAATAATTATCACGCGAAAAATGGCGTTTTTTTCGCGTATTTTAAGCAATCTAATGATGACAAAGCTATTTTTGGCAGATTTTTTTTTTTTTTTTGCTTCCGACATTGAAAGGTCGAACGTAAACATGGGTACAGTTTGAGTAGCTCAAAAACTTTAAATAATGGTCTCTAAGGTGTCAAAACTGCATGCCTAGGTCGAGTATTATTAGATTGATCGTTTAGTGAAAAAAAATTGTAAATATTATGTTCGCCTTTTAAGAAATCGGCATCGCAAAAAGGTCACTGAAAGCACGTTATTTTTTATTGTGACGTCATCGCTATGGTTACGGAAGCTGTACAGTAGTATCCTCTCGCTGCTTATATAATTGTGTTTTCTTTTCACTTGACACTCTTTTTCAGCTTATTTTGCTAGCGTAATTAGACTAATTAAGCCTAATTATGGATTTTCACCTGACTTTTGGATTATACTATGACTCTAAAAACCCTTAAACCACAACGATCTGTTATTTTTTTTTTTTGTTGATCCCTGGAATTAGATCTAGATCTAGTAGTGAGCGTTGGTCTTTGTGTGCTTACTTAGGCTAATGACTTAGGCCTAATTATTTGTTTTCAAATTTGTTATAGCTTAATTCTTATTGATTTCATAAATTTTAATTAGGCTAATTATAATATTTTCACTGGTCTTCGTTGATACATTTATTAGGCTTAATAATGTTAATATTATTACGATTTTAGAGGCCTGATAGATAAATTAAATGATTTTAGCGTTGGGTCTAAGTTTACATTACTAATTAGTACCTAGTAAACCAAGTACGCATGGACTAGGACATGTGTGCTGTGCCCGCGAGCGAGCGAGTCGTTTGACACACGTGGTCTGTGTCGATGTTTGGAATGCATAGGCATAGGCCTAATTCTCGCTCTCGGGTGATTAATTTTTATGCGCTGACATTTGAAAAATCAAATAGACACACATCTTAATTAAATACATTTAATTTGAACTTTATATTAATCTAGACCTATAATACTAATTAGGGCCTATAACTTGGGATAACAAAGTACTTGGACTAGATTTAGCGCATGCGCACACTGTGCTGTGAGTTTTCTCTCGCTGGTTGACAAAAGAACGCAGGCGGGCTAGCGATGTTTGTAATTTGCATATATCTTTGCTCACAGGCGATCATTTTAATGCGATTGGCCTCTTTTTATTTTATAGGCCTAATTAATTGTATTTGATAGGCTAACTTTTCTGGTTGACAAAACTAAGCGAGCGAGATGTCTGTCACGCGCACTGCCCGTGACGCTGTTTAGAATGTATTTCTCGCTAACTTGATGAATTTGAATGCTATTGCAGTGTTTTTTAAAATAAATCAAATACTTACAAATCTTTACATTTTAAACTGAGCATAGACAAAACTTTGTAAATAACACACCTGTCCCAAGTGAAGTGAGAGAAGAGGGTTAGATTAATTTTACAATGACATCGCTATATTTTATGAATTGCCCTAATTAAGCATTGCTAAAACACTTACACTAGTTAATAAAACATGCTTGGGATTGAATATCTTTAAAAAGATTAGATCTATACTATATATTCTTGAACATGTTGTTCATTAATTTGAATTTAGTTTTCCTTTTTAAACACCCTTCCATTTAAAAAAAAATTAAATAAAAATATTTAAAAATTCTAGATCTAGATGTAATTCCATCTTGTGATTTTTTATTCTGAGGAAGACAGTGTCCATACGAATAGAAATGTGGTAATAAAATCAAATGTACTGTGCATATTCTGCTAAAATCAAATCAGCTGCAAGGTCAACCCTGCAGAGTTTGTCTCTTCAGAAAAGTAATAGCGATCTGGTTGTCACGGATTATTTGGCTTGCAATGCTTGGAGTGGCCAATTAATAAAAATCAGTAATTAAGCTCCAAATGAGTTTATTTTCAACAAATTAAGTATTTGATTGATTAGAGATTGATCTCTAGTTTCCATTGGTAATGTTTAAATCGAAAAATAACGAAATTTAAAATTAGTGAGTATCTCTACTTTGTATCGTAAGCAGAACGTCTCCCCAGCCTGGCCTCAAAGACAACCAACCAGTGGCCTTGTTCAGGGTTCGTGCTGCCTCCTGAAATCTTAAAAAGGCGTAAAAACCTCCTAGAATTCTCATGAAATTTTTAAAATTCTCATGAAATTTCATTAACCCGACCATAATTATTAGATTCTAGATTTTGTTCTGCCAACCGATCATTGAGAATAGTAGAAATCTAGAGTAAAGTTCCACGCGCGGTCACACATAGCGAACTCCCGACTTTCATCGACTTTCATCGGGCGCTATTTTGTAACCGTTTAACACAGAAACAAACCCAAAGTACTATATTATTCCTCTGCCTTTCTACTCTTAATATGTATCAATCAATTTATATTCCTACGCATTGAATTTGAGATATTCACGTTTTAGTGACGTGCTACTTGCGATATTTTTTTCCCCTCTTTTTTTTTCCCTGCGGCCATCTGAACCGGCTTGCGTAACGATCGTGTTTTATACGTTTTAATCCTAGTTTAATAAATAAAATAAATATTTTACACTTTTAAACGTGTTGTTGATTGTATTATTAATTAATAGATTTCAAAACCAAATTAAAAACATGTTAATTAAATTAATTAACGACATTAAAAGTTGACCCAGTGATGACTCAAGGGACGCAACTATAATAATCATAACAAAGGGACGTAACAACCACTGACAAGACATAACGTAACATTTGCTTAGATATGCTTGTATGTAGAGACACAAACTAGATTTAGAAGAAGTAGATGATCGAAATAATTTAAAACAGCAGAAAAAAATAGAAATTATACAGATTCTAGGCTTAGCTTGAAATGTAGAGCATCTAGAACTAGGCTAGTCTAGCTCAAGTCGTTGGTTACGCAGCGCGGTGAAACCACCCAAATCGACACCCAAGCTGCGGCCACCCCTATTCACCTATCAGGTTGCTTTATTAGCCTAATCTATCGTATGTACAGTGTCACGCACATATTGTAGAGGCTATTTATAGTTAACCTAGTTATAAAAAGCTTTGATTGGTTGGTTTATTCATCTCATCCGGGACCTAGTGTTTTTCATACGGGGAACTAGAATCGCCTTCGACGTCATACCTCGAAACTTTAAAATTTAAAAACTCGACTTCCAGAAGGAGAAAAACAAAAGAATTTGACCTGGATATATTTAGAAATGGACAGGTTTACAGCAGATATCGGTAGTTTCGTATAAAACATCAAAACAAATATTGTACGAAGCGATAAACAGGCGATGACCGCACCAGTGTTTTAACCGCGCGTGGAACTTTACTCTAGTTTTAAAATGGGACGGAAATAAAATGTATGCATTGGCCGCCGTCCGACTGAATTGCTCTGCTGTGGAGATATACTCATCGTGCAGCACAGCTGTTGTGTGGTCACATGACGCTCAGCAGATGATCTGATTGGATGATACTATAAAAAATATCTAAAGATAGATACATGGTGTTCCCGTGTTTGATTCATTGGCTATTGCATTTTTAAAGTAGACAGGCATGTTTCATAACTGTCTTAAACTATTGAAAAAGCAAAAAAAAGTTGTAGTATTTACTGCTCAGGACGAATCGTCAAAATTAATCTTCTTTAGAAATTAATCCGGATAGCTGCGGCCTGATCAAACAATACTGATGTGATTTGCGTAACATTTGATTATTTTGTACATTAATTTGTACTCCATTAGCGATTATTAGACCAAACTAAATTTAATTAGGCCCTAATTACTCACTGAGAGTTCCTGTATGTATGATGTTTTAGCAGTATTAATCTTAAATAATAGGCCCTAGGCCTATATTTTTACTATTAACTAAAAACTAAATAGCTTCATTGTTTCAATAGCCCTACCACACTCCACTTCTTGAATTAAAAGTTACACTTTAGGGCCTACCGACTGTAAAGTGTAGGGGAGGGGTATAAACTCATTGAAACATAGTGAGACATGTAGGGATACTTTTTCCCCTCAAAAGAACAAGGCAGTAATGAAATTTAAGGTTAACCATTGTGTTGTCAGAATATAGACTTTAAAGATTAGTAGTTATTAAGTTATTAGATCATACATATTTCTAAATCACCAATCTCCAAAGCGGGGGGCTCATTTGGTTGTTGAAACTACAGTTTTAAATTTTGATCGTTCTTAGGTATTAGTGAAACTCAGTCCAAATCAGAAAATGTGCTGGTGAAAGGTGTAGGCTATCCCTCACACAAAAATTATTGGACTTGGTTATAATTAGCATACTATTTATTAAGTGATAGGACTATATCACATCATGCCTGAAAATTTAAAATATAATTTATTAGCCTGGGGTTTTGTTTAAATTTTGTTAAGCTGACGCTCTGTCAATTTATAGTCTCAAAAAGAATGCATTTGTTTTCAAAGCTGCTTATCACACTTGATGACAATGGCTGTACAATTTTTTTATTAAGCCTGCATATTAGAGTAAATGTAAATTTTTTTCATTTAGGTCTCATGCTTAGTGGTTTTTCAGTTCACAAAATTGATGATGGCCTAGAAAGTTAATGATTGTAAAATTTTTGACTATTTAGGCCTATAGTTAATATAAGGCCTATAATTAATATAATATACAGTTATTTTTCATATAGGTTATCATACCAGAATATTTTTTCTTTCAAATCTGCTGTTTCTAAAACTATTTTCAAATAGAATCTATTTTGGTTAGAAATTTAAAACATTCATTAATTTTTAGATTGTCTAGTATTGTTTTTTTTTTTTTCGGGTTGTTTATTACCTGTCATGTTAACTTAAATCCAGCCTAACAAATTCTCTTACTTTTCCAGTTGATGGTGGACACAGGGCTATAATCTTTAGCAGGTTGTCTGGCATTAAACCTGATATATATGTGGAAGGACTACATTTCAGGTACATTTGTGGCTCCTTTTACTTTTTAGGCTTCAATAAAAATGATCACGTAACTCATTGCATTACACAGATGAGCTTGACTTTTCTCTACAGTAGGGGACACATTTTCAAATCAAATATACAAAAATTATGTAATTTTATATGCTTAGTTCATTGTTAGTATTTTAATGTATATGGATTTGGCTCACTTAAATTAACTAGCCTTTAATATGCCTAATTAACTCTGCAAAATACTTAATTTTTCTACATGTGTTACTATTTTTAATTTCATCAAAACTTGTTTCAGAGTGCCATGGTTTCAATATCCCATTATTTATGATATTCGGTCAAGGCCTCACAAAATCTCTTCCCCAACTGGAAGCAAAGGTAAGGAAGTTTTTAAAATGTGAAGTTATGTTTTAGTAACACAAATGAATACCAGCTTTAAAGTGGAACTAAATATTTTACGATATAATATAATGGAAAAAATTTCTTTTCTTTAGATTTACAGATGGTTAACATCTCTTTGAGAGTCTTGTCTAGACCAAATGCCTTGTCATTGCCTCAAATTTACAGGCAACTTGGCACAGACTTTGATGAGCGCGTGTTACCATCTATTTGTAATGAAGTAAGTAGGCCAGTTTGGTTATGTAATCATTTATGTTCATTGTATCCATAAATTAACGTGCATAATAATTTCATTCTATCCTAATTAGTATTTCAATTGGGGGCGATGGAAACTCATTTTTAAATAAACTTTTGGAAAATTGCATCAGACACCTATTGGAGCAACATGCATAATTTTCCCTATTAAAAAACATACACATACACAAGCTAGTTCTAAACAATTATAAAATCTATTTAACAGGTCTTGAAGAGTGTTGTGGCCAAATTTAATGCATCTCAGCTCATCACTCAGCGTCAACAAGTTTCACTGTTAATCAGGCGTGAGTTAACTCAGAGAGCTAAAGATTTCCACATCATTCTGGATGATGTCTCTATCACAGAGCTTAGTTTTGGCAAAGAGTATTCATCAGCCGTTGAATCAAAACAGGTAACCTCACATTACACTTGGGTTTTTTTTTCTTTCAGGTTTATAGCTACAATTTCCTTACAAAAAAATGTCCACACAATTAGACTAATAATGCTATTATTTTATTCTTATCCTTACAGTTAAATACTTAACTGTTTGGTACGGGTACATTGATTTTTTGTCAAATTTCTAACACAATTTTTAACTTTTTAAGATTGCCCAACAAGATGCACAGAGAGCCCAGTTTTTGGTGGAGAGAGCTATTCAAGAGAAACAACAGAAGGTAGTACAGGCTGAGGGAGAGGCTGAAGCTGCCAGGCTGATTGGTGAAGCCATGAGCATGAACCCTGGCTACCTCAAGCTTAGGAAGATCAGAGCTGCCCAGAATATAGCTAGAACAGTAAGTGCTGGTCTTTAAACTGCTGTTTGACCAAGATAATAACAACTGTATAGAATATTTCTGGACAGTTGCATTTTGATTGCAGTCTGTAACTGAAGGAAAATAACAGTAGCTAATAATATTGTTAGAACAGTGCCTTATTCCCACGTTTTCTTTAACTTGCTTTCTCTGTTTGTCTTTCCAATCAAATCTTGCGATCGAAATTTCTGGCACTTCCCAGTTAGCTAGCGCGCTGAAATTTTCAGGGAAGCTTTCTTTTGGATGACCATAGAATATTCAATTGTTATTATTACTAAATTGATCAATGGAAACATTTTATTGAGCATTTTAGACTGCTATATAATCCATATATATAATTCTCCTCTGCGAGCCATTAGAAAAAAAACGAGCGACGCGTAGCTCGCCTCTCTCTTGCCGCGCGCAGTGAAGCGAACGATCCCACGTCGCGACAGGCTTAGGGGCAGATAATTTAGTTTGAACCGACTTTAAACTTACAGGAGGTAACTATTACCACTGGTGGCCAGTTTGGGGGAGACGATATGGTCGAGTGGTTGGGCACACGATTGCTATCCCACTCGACACGGGTTCAAATCTATGTGTTCTAGTCAGTAACCAGCCCTCGTCCTAACCGCTATCAACTAACCTCTGACAATCATTCACTTGCGATTGAGACCGAAGAAAAAAGGGTCTCTCGGTTTTTACGAGTTGTCTTCGTTTACTCAAAAAAAAAGTGAAAAGATAAAATCGATAGCAAGATTTCAATGCAAACAAACAGACAAAGACTAAAAAGTAGAAAATAATAATCATTAAAAAAGTTTTCAAAAACCCACGTTTTCTGATTGAACTAAAAAGTAGAAAATAAATACTATACATCACAATAATGCAAGCGATCACTCTACTATAAGCGATGAAAAACGTGGGGCGCCGTGATTTTCTTACAGTTTCTAATACTGTTGACTCTCTACAAGCTCCCTAATAAAAGTCAATAGTATTATCTAATCAATAGTAATATAACTTTTACTTCGGCGCCCCACGTTTTTCATCGCTTATAGTAGAGTGATCGCTTGCATTATTGTGATGTATAGTATTTATTTTCTACTTTTTAGTTCAATCAGAAAACGTGGGTTTTTAAAAACTTTTTTAATGATTATTATTTTTCAAGTTACTGTTGTATTTTAGAAGTTCAAATGTCTATCTCTTCCTCGCCAGCCAAAATATCCCATATTTTTTTTAAAAATATTTTTAAATAACTTTCTTTTCCAGATTGCCCAATCTCAGAACAGAGTGTACTTGAATGCATCATCCTTGATGATGAACATTGGAGAGGAGAGTTTTGATATCGCTGCTGACAATCTTTACACCAAGAGAAGGAAATGAAAATAACAAAAGTATCAAGTGTAGAGAATTTTCAGAGTTTAAAAAATAATTGTAATGTTGAGGGCTTGGAACGTCATTAATGTTCGTAGTTGAACTTCTCTGCATTTAGAATCTGTTCACACTCTTGTGTTGCATTAAGATTTTTCTAGGATCATGTGATTGTGTTGATTTTAATAGATTTTTTTTTCCAACTCTTCTTGAATGTAAAGAAAAATTTGTGTCTATTGGACCACAACATTATTTGTAATAAAAAAAAATATTTCTACTGTATTTTGTGTGCAGTTTCTTTTAATACTATCTCAAACTAATATTAGATAAACCAGTTTTTTTTCTCACCCTTTTCTGATGGGCTATGTTTTCATAAATTTACAGGACATTAAACATTTTCAAGTACATCAAAACTAAAAACTGATTAAAATATTTATTGGCAAATTTTGTATCATAAAACAATATCACAGTTCATTAGGGAAAAATTATAGCATGGTTAAGTTATCTTTATACTGGCAACAATGTACATTAATAACAATTTTCAACTGTCCACCAATTTTAACATGTATAAAAGTAACATACAAATAACTTCATACAATCCAAAAAAATTCTTTTTATGTGGTTCTAGAAACAACCAAATGACAAATAACTGGTTATATTTAACATTGCACAAATAATCATGTTCATTACATCAAATCTCTAACATTTACAATACCCTGGTAGCATAACATTTAAAATAGTGTCACTGTAGTTCACTTTCGAACATTTTCTAATGCTTCTTTCAAGACTTTGAGCACCATTTGGACATTTTCTGGTTTACAGTTGTATCCCATAATTCCAACACGCCAGACTTTTCCCACCAAGTCTCCCAAACCACCAGCTATTTCCACTTTGTAACTGAAATGTATTTAAATTACAAAAAAAATTAAGCCACTAATTAAGAAATAAAAATAATTGTGCAGTCTGAAAAAGTTAATTTTATTTTGGATAGCCCCAAAACTCACTGTGTATCAAATATTCTAAAATTAACTAGCATTCAAAGATAAAAGAAAATTACTTTTTCATGGCATAGTCAGTGACATCCTTCCAGTTGACACCTTCAGGTACCTTTATTGTTGTAACGCATGGATTCCTTATCTCCTGCAAGCATACTTTTATTAGATTGAAACTAACCACAAAAAACTACAGCTTCTCATTCAAAATAGAAACCAAATCATAACAGAACCAAGCGATAATTAGCTACCAAGTCAGCTGAATTAGGCTATAAAAAATGTATTTAAAAAAGTGAACCTCACAAAACATAAAAATTTGAAAGCTGGCTAGTGTTTACAATGATAGAAGTTAACAATACCTTGTTCTTAACCAGTAGCTCTAGGCCAAGGTTTTCCAGACCATTATATAATAATTCTGAACAAGCTCTATGGTCTTCCCAAGACTTTTCTAAACCCTGAACAAATTTTTTAAATTGCATAGAATTATTTTTGGTGTGTGATGTAAGGTGGTTTGGTGTAAATGAATCCATTGCAAAAATGAGCATGCAATTTATCTTAGAAAGATTTAAAAATTAACTACAAGATTCACCTCTTCAACTATCCTGGCCAGTCCCTCCCTTAAGCCATAGACGCTGGTAACCATTCCAGTATGGTGGTATCTAAACGGAATTAAACATGTTTGTGTAAATGTATGATTTCAGTAATCCATCTTAAAAAAGATAACTTATTCATATATTCAACAATTTGTTAGAACAAGGATTAAATTGGCTTAAAATTAAACAATATAACTGCTGATGATGTGTCTTGTTCCCTAGCTCTCACTATACATCTTGAGAACCACAACACTACACAATAATGCGAATAACATTAACAACAGTATTTGTTAGAATATTGTTAGAGAAAATAAACCAGTTTACAAACTGACACTTAAACAACAGTAAGTCAAACTGATTAACATTACATATCTATTGACTCTAGGTAACAGATTGATAAAAACATTAAAATACCTTCTTGGTCCCTTGTCACAACCCCAGTAGTTTGCCAACTCATTGGCATCAAAATAGTATGATCTAATCTTTGTTTTTCTACTTGTTATTTTGTCCCTGTAATAAAATTAATTGGTTTGTAGATAAATAATAATAAATTGAATTTTCAAAGGGTTTTTGTTAGGAATAAAAAAAAACAAAGAACTACAAAATAAAACATGCATTGTATTTTTCAATTTTAAGTATTAATGAATGGCATTAGTATAGACATTCATGAATATTGTAACTAAGATGAAACAACAAACCTTGCTCTTTGGTTAAAGGAAATGGGACTTGTTGCAGGTGGAGCTCCAATTACTTTTTGGGAACCAGAGTACAAAATATCTATATCTAAAAATCAAGAAAATAGTCTCATGATTTGCAAACTGTCACACATTTTTTAAAAAAAGGTAGTGGTAGAAATTGTAGGGTGTAAATTAAAAAGACAACCAAAGAAAACTGCTTAAAATCTAAGTATCTTTTTCTTCAAAACTTAATAAACTTGCAATTTATTAAATAAGCAATATTTATTATTCATCAGTATTACAAAACAGAATAGTGGGTATAAACAATTTATTTTTTAAAACTTCTTTTAAGGTGAATTGAGCAGTCATTTCACTAACTAAATTTTCTAACCGCAAACAAATAAGCACATATTAATAAGACATGTGGGATCTACAATATAATTTGATTACAGATATTTGTTTTGAGATAGCTCAATATCTTATAGAAGTTAATTATATTATACCCCAGGCATCCATATATAACTGTTTTCCACCTAATATGGCAACAGAGTCAACCAACAGTAGTGCATTATACCTGCAATTAAAATTTCACACAAAATAGTATTAGAATTGCATCTAAAGCTATAAATAGCTTACTTTCCAACACTTCTTTTAATATAATCAGTTACCAAAATACCTAAACAAAGATTCTTTTTTAAGACTTATTTTTGAGTCAAACAACAATAGGCCTATAAAGTGGATGGTGGCTGAGTAAAAACTTTACTGGTAATATGAAAACCTACTTATGGCATAGTTCACCAAGACCTTCCAGTGGTTGGGCAGTTCCTGCAGATGACTCTCCGTATGTGACAAACACTAAACTTGGCTTGTGCTCTTGCAAGCCCTGAAAATGGCCATACAACAAACTATGTAAGATATGTTGAAGCAGGAAGTTGGTGTGCATATGACTAGCTCTCATGCTACTGTTCTCTATGATGGAGTCACATGTTTAAAAAAATTAAGGCTAGGAAACTATGGATTCTGGAAAAAGAAACACAAAACTGAAAAAGATATTGGGTAAAAAAGAATTAAAATGTATCTCACAGATATGTCAACTATGCAAAGCATACATTTTATCCAATAAAATGGACATTATTTTAAAAGAGGTAGATTCTAAATAAAATTATTTTCCACTAGATCTAGATCAGTGTATTATTTTTATTAAAAAAACTATTCCATGCTATATATAATAAAATGATAATACATTTATCAAATTACCTTCTCTATTTCTTCAAGTGTAAAAACTTCTCCATAAGGACAAATAATTTTCTTTGCGATAGACCCTGAGATTTAAATGAGATTATTTTCAGAACATAAAATGGGCTAAATTTAAATTTTATCTTCTAAATGTATAGAGATTTAGAAATAGAAAATCTATTCTGAGCCAGAAAAGGAAAAACAATTACCATTTCTCTCCACCATATCAGCTAATCTCTGGCCCCAAATTCCATTCTGGCATATTAGAGCTACTTCACCTGCTTCTAGCAGATTCACCACTGCTGCCTCCATTGCAGCATGTCCTATTTTATGATGCAAAACACACTTTGTTTATAACAAATGTTGTACAATCTTTATACAAACTATCCTACCCATAAAAACATCCTTGCCAAATAATGAATATATTGTTAACCCTTTCATTTTACAACTACTTTAACAAGATATCATGTATGGTTTACAATTGTAACCAATACTACTCTGCAAAATAGATATTTAATTGAAAAATATCAGACTTAAATCACATTAAATATAGAATCTACAAACCTGCAAAATATTACATTATTATTATTAATTAATGAACAGAACAATGTGTTAGTTTGATTTAGTTATAGTGTTATAGTTATAAAATACAAACAATGGTGTAGCTTACCAGTGCCAGAAATTGCAAATGTCCACTCATTTTTTGTCTGAAAAATGTACTGTATTCCTTCTTTCACTTCATCCATGATCTAGAAACAACAAGGATAGAATTGCATTTTTATCCTAAGTATATTAACACTAAATAAACTATGTTCACAGTTTTATTTTCTACACATGTGAGACCAAAAAAAACTGTTTGTTTTAAAAAATAAAACTGGCAATTTTTTACACATCAATTTAAATTTGGCCACATTTTTTTTATTCTAGATTATGTTATATGCCATTAATTAATTAAATAGTTAATTTAAAAAAAAAAGAAATTCTTATAAACATTTATTGTGCTACAAATACAATAATGGGATTTTTATTTCTACAGTTGAATTAATTAAATCCAATGGGTTTTTTAACATTAGAAGCATTTAGATATTGTATCAATTTCCTCTGCCATATGGTTACCTTTGTAAACTCTGGGTGCAAGTGACCTAACATTGGCAAGGATCCTGCAGCCAACACCCTCGGTGGACAGTTCGATGGCCCAGGTCCCATTAACAACTTCGATGGAACATCCATAGGTTTCATCAAACACTTCGGCGGCGAGACCGACATTGCTGGAGATTCCATTCGAGCAGATGTTGAAAATGTTGCCGTCGCAGCTGCACGCGAATGCAGTTGTTTTAAAATACACAGCGATGACCAGCCTCGTTTTATCGACCGCTGGTTATATAGGTCGGAAAACGTTTTTCTTAACGAAAAAGCCATGGCTATATTTCCTTGTGCTGGTTTCACTGAGATAGTTTATCTATTGACTATATCTATTTACTACTCTAATAAACGCAAGTGCACCAAAAGTTTTAAAAATGTATGAATATTTTGCACTGACAGTAGGCCTACTACTGCACTATGTGACAAGACAATAATGATAATCCATTTACCATTATGTTTTAGTTTTCATTAATTCGGATTTAATTTCTGCAATAAAAACCTACTGTACGGCTTTCAAGATCTAGCTAAAGTAATCAAACTCTTAAATTAAAATGTTGACTACAAATTAGGAGAAAATATGCTTGCAAATGTGCATAGAAATAGCAATAGATTAGTCTCGGGAATTTGACATGGTTGGCTACTAAATGTCATGCATGTCCCACATCGGCTCGTCTTAGTTAGCTAGAATTTAACATACTACGCAAGACAGGTGAACTTTGTGTATTTTAGTGAATAACCTATGACCTTTAATACTCTCTTCAACCCCAATGTTAAACTGAAAGAGTAAAAGAAAACTCAACCAGTGTTTCTTCCAGACTTTTTTCTCCGTGGGGGGGGGGGGGGGGGGCGCACTCATTATTTTCGGGGGCGGGGGCGGACAACATTTTCCGGTGTGGGGGGGGGGGGGGTGGACACTGGTAAAAAAATATGTTTCCTATATAAATTTCATCTCGTTCGGGGGGGGGGGGGGCGGTAGACTTTCTTCTGCCCCCCAGAAGAGATGTCTGGAAGAAACTCTGAACTCAACGATGGGCAATATATTGTTTCGTCATTTCAAAGGCCGATGGGATAAGTAGTAAGATTTCCCCTTGGCTTTACAACTTTAAATGTGTTTACGCTATGAATATTAATAAGAAAAGTCCCTGAAATGATGTCATGCTTTTTGTTACGCTTGTTCCCCCCCTCCCCTCCATCACACATCGTCACAAAAAGTAACCCCCCCCCATAAAATGACGTCAAACATCAATCAACCTAACCCCTCCCCCTCCCATATCTTCCCGCCCCGCCTATTTAAAATATCGACAAAGCACGGTCAACTTAAGGTATTTCATTTCAATCAATTTCTATTACAATTTATTAAAACAATTTTACCTAAAATGTGAAATAACGGCAAAAATTCAGTCTCTATAATTACTTTATTTAAATGCAAAAGTTTGACGTCACACTATCTTAATTTCCCCCTACCCCCCCCCCCCCTTTATCACACATCGACACAAAATTACTTAACCCCTCACCCCCCCCCCCCCTTTACGAGTGTGACGTCATTAATGGACGACCCTTATGCCTTATGGGTAGGCTATAACTACCAATCACGTGCCTATGTTCTGTAAAACTATTAATTTCTGACAGCATTGATGATTTTGTTCAGGTATTGTTCCTCATCAGGTGATGTTGAGTTCTGCCTTCGGTTATCATCCCACTCCGCCCCGTAAACGAAATTGAAAAAAATATTTGGAAAGTGTATAGCCCAGGGGTCTGCAACTTTTCGAAGCGGAAGAGCCAAAAGTTACAATTTTCAAAATTTCCCTGGTTTTAAAGAGCCGCTGACATTTTTTTAATTCAAGTATTTTATTTTTTTATTAAGATTATTAGTATTTGTGCAAGGAGCTGGAGGGCCACATCTTGACATCAAAAGAGCCGCATGCGGCTCGCGAGCCGCAGGTTGCCTACCCCTGGTATAGCCAATACTTTAACCGGTGTTCACCCACCCAACCCCTTTTCATGAGTCCCCGTCCGTCCGTTACGCATCTTCTTGTCACCGTAGTAAATGACATTAAGGTAAGTAGCGTCACAGAGAGGTGGGGGGGGGGGGGGGGGCGAGGGCATAGTGGTGTTGATCTCGCCAGGATACAGAATTCAAGGGCGTGGTGTCTCCAAAAAGAAAAATAGCATATTTTAACTTTAATATCGTTTTTTTCCCCCGGTTATTTAAAAACTTAGAAAAGTTGTATACACCAGGAAGGGGATGAGAACAATTAGGCTGCATGTAGTTTTAGTACATTGTTGACGGAGATGGGTGACACTCTGGGTTACTGCACCAAATAACACCCGGCATAGTAACACTAAGCTATAGCCTTATCAATGTAAACCAGGTGGTTTCAAATGATGTGTGCTAATTTCTAAACATTAAATTATTTAAAAAAAACACAACCTCAGAAAAATTAAGTAGGCCAACTTTTTATGATTTACCCAGAGAGATTGAAATGTAATCATGCACTGTAATCTTAGAAAAGTCAAGGGCATTTACTTCTATTTCTAATATAGAAAACGCTAGCCAAGCCTCATATAGTTTCGGCATTCTCTTTTAAATTTTAAAATGATTTTATTGTTTGAATGGCCCTAAAGATAAGCCTAACGATGGGGACTTTAAGAACCACTTTTATATCGTTTATGATTATCGTTTGACAAAAATTAGGGCCCTAGGTTATGTAAAAAAAACAACAACAATAGAGTTTAAAATTAAGAAAAATGTGCGAAATTAAAAACTTTTAACAAATTTGCACCTCATTGCGTGGCCGAAAACTTGGGCAGATCTATAAACACCCAGCATAATGGTTCTCCCATCCTAGGCTAATACGAATATATTTTAGGCAGATTTTGCTCCCCACACTTCCATGTCATACGTCAGAACAAACTCAAGTCTATCTCCACTGCTATTACAATGTGTCCCACCACCCCAACCCCTCCTAAATAAAATAAATTAATATAATTTAGTTTTAATTTCTGTTTTGTTATTTTAAAATGCTTGATGGCCGCTTTTCTCATGGGCCCAAAGGTAAGCATCTCCAGTGTTTCTTTCGGGCATCTCTACCGGGCGCACGTCCACCGCCCCACTCCGGGCGAAATAAACAAATACAAAATGTATCGAACAAATTTATTTTAACTAGTGTCACCGTCAGTGTTTCCTCCATCCGCAAGTTTCAAGTTCCCCCAGGATAAAAATATCTAAAAGAAGTACTAGGTGTCACACACAGTGTTTCAGGTATCTCTTGGGGGGTGGGGAGGGCCCCATTTACCCCTCCCCCGCCAAACCCCCACAAAGAACATAGAATTTATATAAAAAATATGTACATCCAGTGTCCCCCTCCCAGTCCACCCCCCCCCGAAACCCCCGAAAGTTTCAAGCCCCCCCCCCCTCCACTTCCCATGGAGAAAAAAGTCTGAAAGAAACACATGCCACCTATACAACGTGGCATCAGCTGTGTCGAATTCGCTGCCGAAAGAAACCCAGAGTTTTCAGTTCTATCAACTGGTGTCCACTCATGTTCGACTATGTAGTTGTTCTAAGTTTGCTTCTGCACAACGCTGTTGTGTTATGGAACCCCGTAGAGGAAAACCGCTCATAGAATTATCAGAATGCTATATACAACAACAAATACTTTTCGTGGTACCAACGCTCGCGCCGGACCACCAAAATTATATTAATTGGGACATAAACGTAAAAGCCTCGCGTTGTTGTTCTTCTGTTTTTGTCCCCCCCCCCTGGTATTTATGACAGTTTATCAATGTTATAAACACTACTTTGTATGCCCATCTAATAATCTCAATTAGCCGCTGCTTCTAACGTTCCTTTTACTTTAGCACTTTAGCTGGCATAACAGATCAATTTTTACAGTTTGCTTTTAATATTCAATATCAATGGAGGCCAAAAGCCACGAAACTTTGCTTTTATTAAAATAAGTCTGAAAAAAGTTAACGCATGTTCTTGTATTAGGTTCTAGGCTAGATATAGATTCTAGGTCAAGTTAATCATTACTGAGTTGGTAAAATTCAAGAGTCGAAAATTTAAAGTTTTGTTACACGGAAATTGCACATTGGCAGTCATTATAGACAACAACGTTGTTTTCATTAGTTTCAAAATGGCCGACTTTCTAAATTTTCTGGATTATGTTCTGATAGCTCTTTAAAATTCAGTTCAATTTATTTTTTATTTGCCTATTCGTTATATTTTGCTTATGTATTATTTAATAAAAAGAAATCTTTTAGTTACAAGTAGCTAAAATTTGAAGAGAATAGGCAAGAGTATTTTTAATTTTATTTTTTAGGCTACAAAAACAAATTTTAGAAATTTACACAAAACAAACACTTACACAGTACTGTACACTTGAGTACACAGTGTACCCGGCTTTCATCAAATCAAGGACCGTCAGACCTCTGTTTCAAAGAAAAACTAACGAGCAAGTAAGTTGCATCTGATATTCCTATTACCTAGATCTATATTAATATTATTTACTAGCTAGATCCTTTTTTTTCTAGTGACTAGAATCTAGATTATTTATTAAATTAATAATAATATTATTAGTATATTAGTATTATAATTAGGCCTAACCTAAAATAATAATAATTTAATTTAATAATTTAATTTAATAGTCAATCAAATTGGAATCAAGTTCTTGTGTTCTAGATCTAGATCTATATCTATCTAGTATAGTAGTATAGTAGTATAGTCTGTACTCTGTACTATAGTACTATATAGTAGTATATAGTCTACTACTTAGAATGACTTATATCTATTCTAGATTCTAGATCTAGTTAAGTTAAAGTTAAAGTAATCAAAGTATTGTAAGTAGATCTACTAAGTCTACTACTACTGCAAAGTTTACTAAGTAGAGTAAAGTATCTAAATTATATTTATAACAATATAGAGAATAAAACTGAGTCAGTAGAGCTAGATCTAGATTACTGGTTACTAGATCTACATGACATTGTTAGTAACTTGGTTAGTATGGTAGATAATAGATATATATCATTAATTAATTAAATTACTCATGAGTAATGATTGACTAATGTTTAAAGACTTAAAATGCATACCATTCATAAAAAAAAACTACATTGGGAGCTGCTGGAGTTTTACATCTTATATTCTTAAAGTTGAAACCATTACTTTTTCTAGCTAGGCAAGTAAACTGTGATTCTACTTTGTCTATCAGTAGTTATGGAAGAGGAGAATGAAGATAACTTCTCAAGGTACACACCACAGCATCCACTTCCAGAAGAAATCAAGAAACTTGCAAGAGACAAAACTGTAGGTTGGAAACAAACTATACAACATAGAACTTGTTTCTAGTGGTACATATAGATTTAGTTATTATTGCATTTTTATTATTTTAATTGTTATTCAATTAAAGTAAGTTCTGAAAGATTGAATTATAATTTTCATCCTAGGTCTGTAAATACTGTGGTGTGAGTTACCTGATTCACAATGAGATCAAAGCTCTAGAAGGGAAACTAAAGGCAGCGGAAGGAGAGCTGTCTAGACTGAGAGGTCTAGAGAAGAGGGAGGAAGTGCTCAAACAGGAGACAGTTTTGTTGAAACACCAGATTTCTGATTTGAAGCTCATGATTGAAACTAACGGAAAATTGTATGTTTATCAGCATATCATCAAAATATGATTTTTTATTATAAAAAAGTGTATGAATTTCTAATGATCATACGCATTGGTTTTAATTCCAAAATTGCTATTGAAAATAGTATAAACTTTGATAATTTGTTTATGCTGTCTTGCAGGATAGAATCACAAGGCAACGAGATAATAAACAGTAAAGAAACACAAAAAGTATTAGAAGACACGCTCAAAACTTATAAGTAAGAAAATTGTTGACTTTGATTAAAAAGTAAAATGTATTATTAGGTCTATTTGAGCTTTGTTATAGTCCTACATTATCCTGAACTGACAGGATAGATGTCATGCTTTCTACTGAGTCATGTCACGTACTAATTGGTCAAAATTTGGTATTTTGTATTAGTTGGACTGATAGGGGATTAGCCTCATCACCTGAGTCCACATACAGTATGCAACTGCTATAGATAAACAACTAATTCAAATAATTTCAGGCCTAATTTTTACTTTATAATTTACAACAGCTTGTCAAGGGTTATTGATGCTATTTAATACAGATGATAATAATATCATAGCTCAATGCTGTTAGGTGATCTAGATTATTGGGCTTGTGTTGCCCAGACATTCTGTTTTAAAAACTCTGCTTAAATATGCAGGTCTTGTTGATAAAAGTACTTAATCTTCCGACAATTTTAGTCCTGTATATGGTAAAATAATTCTTTTACAGAGAAAAATATTTACGAGCCCTAAAGCAATGCTCCAACTTGAACCAGACTGTGAAGCAGTGGAAAGAGAACTTGGGATTTTTGAAAGACAGGGTTCTAACTTTTCAGTCAGAGATGTCAGAATCTATGAGACCAGCACTAGAAAATGTTGGGCGCATATCAGAACAATCAACAAAAGGTACATACTTCAGAACAATAACTATTTCATTATTTTATGGTATTGATCTGTTAGCTGTAAGTTTATCAGAAAAGTTGAGGGGGGGGGGGGGTGGGGCTATGTTGCTTGGATGGTGTGATTGGATGGTAGAGCTAATCCAGGTCTCAAGTTAAGGTCCCGAGTTAATGTCACCGAGTGTACCCAGCTCTGATGGGTACCTGACATATATTAGCGAAAGTAAAGGGGGTTGGGCATAGAGCTGACCTCGCTATCCCTTTGAGGTCCCTAAAACAAGTGATTTCTGCTTCACCTGTCTCATGGATCATCAGGCTCGAAAGGGTAACTTTTTAAGCTAGATTTGGGTTTGGGTTAGAAATAAGATTAGCATTAGAAATTATAATAATTTATTGGCTAATTTACTACCAGTAATCTAACACCCCTTTATTTAGAAGTTCCTATTATTGTATAGTTATTTAACACTAGTATAAAACATACACTTGGGTAAAATGATCAATTTCATGTGTTATTCATAATTTTTTACATGGTCCAATTAGTGTTATCAATGCTTTAAAAATCTGATTGCAGAACTAGGGACCTTGCAGTCACAACTGGAGTGCACAGAGATGGAGAAACTTGTCCTGTCTCAGTCCAACAAAACTCTTTCAGACAATTTGAAAACAAAAGAATTAGAAATGAAAAAGTTGCAAGATAAGTTGAAATCAAAATCCAATGTGTTAAAAGAAAAAGACGTGACAATCAGCCGCTTGGAGCATCAGATTGCCAATTTGGAAGGAACTGCAGCTTCACTCAAGTCCAAGGAGGATTCATTGAATAGTTTGTATTTCATTTGTAACAGCTTTTTTCCCCATTTCATTCAGATATGTTACTGTGTTACTTTTTTACCTTTAAAATAATCTTTGACTATTGTAAATTTGTAAGCTTAGATTTTTTTGTAAAAGTAAAAATAAAAACTTAAATGACATCAGATTGTAGCCTATGTTTCATACAATACAAATACATAATAGTGTGTACAAATTAAGTTTAGATTAAAAAACCTGACATTTTTACTTGATGTCCATTTGAAGCCAGATTAACTTTAATACCTAATACCTTTATTCAGTTCTTATATACACATTTTAAGTTAATAATACTTATTATCTTTTGTTTATTTATAATTTTAGGGATAAATGAAGAATTTAAGGAGAGCCAAGATCAATGTAAAATTTTGATGGTAGAGCTAGATCAGTACAAATTAAACATAAAGTAAGTATTACTGCTCCAAGGTTGGAGTAGGCCTTTTGTCTACTCTCAATATACCAAGCATATCTGTAATCTGTATTTAAATGGATTAAAACAAATGTTTAAAGTGTAGAAACAAATTTAGACCTTTGGATGTTCTCAAGGACTGTGGTATTAGCACATTCAAACACTTTTTTAAGAAAATAAAAGAAAAAAATATTTCAACAAATGAGTTGAGTTTAGCAATGATTTGTCATTCTAGGGCTAAAAACTCTGAGCTGACAGATGCACTTGATAAGCTAAAACAACTGGAGCATGACCATGAGTCTTCACTACAAAAGTAAGTTACTTCAAAGTTTTTATTAACATAAAACTCAAAACATTCCTAAAAGACTTTTAATAAACAGCAATTACACTTTTTTTAAAAGTGTTAAATATCAACTTATATTGATAGTTTAGTTGATGAGATTTATAAAGTTGATGTTATAAAAATTAGCCACACCTTTTCAGCATACAGATTTTTTTCAAACTATGGCAATACATTTTTATTATGAATTTAAAATTTTTTTTTCTTTCAAATTTTTACTTTTATCCTTTTCAAATGAGTGTTTTTTGTTTTAAATTTTTCAGGCTATATTTAGAAATCAAAGGTAAAGAGAATGAACTAACATCACATGTAAAGCAGATTAAAACACTAGAAAATCAATGCAGAGAGTTACAGAAAAAAGAAGCAGAGAGCTCACAATGGAGCAAAGTCAGCACAAGTGAGTTTATTAAAAAACTGTATTATGTTATTCATGGTTCAATGTGATGAAATTAAAAATATTTTTTTTTTACTAAATTTTAAAACTAAATAGAGCTAACTGTAACATCTGAAGTAGTAATTGTTTCATAGTTGAAATTATCTACAACTATTCTGAAATTAGATGAAGTTCAAGAATTGAAAGAAGCGTTACAGAGAGCTAAAGGAGATGTTGCAGCTCTGAAGTCTGAAAGGTAGGTCTTTTGATACAAGTCTAAAAATATCCTATTTTAACAGTATTTAATGCTGGAGCTTTTGTGGATAAATAATATTTGTATTTTTATGTGAAAAATGTATGTTTAAGTATATTACCTTAAATATATTTAGTTGATTAGTTAAATTAATTTTTAGGTTTTTTTTCCTTGCAATTATTTTTAGTTTTATTTTACTGATTAGACTACCGTACTGAATTTGTAACAATGAAATAGTTTACTGTTAAAACTACTGTACACTTTATGACCAGGGAGTTGATGATAGAGGCTCACCAAAACAGGATAGAGGATCTGAGAGAAAGTTTTAAAAACAAGATGGCTGAAGCAGATGATTGGCCCCAGAAAGTAAACATTTTTTTAAAATTAAGTATTTTGCACATATGCCATGTTATAGGTGTAGGGTGCAGGATAGGGGTAGGGCCCATGATAGGGATAGGGCACATGATAAGGGTAGGACACATGATAGGGCACACAATAGGGGTAAGGCACATGATAGGTGTAGGGCACATGATAGGTGTAGGGCACATGATAGGGCATATGATAGGTGTAGGGCACATGATAGGGGTAGGGCGCATGGTAGGTTAGGGCACATGATAAGGGTAGGACACATGATAGGGTAGGACACATGATAGGTGTAAGGCACATGAAAGGGGTAGTGCACATGATAGGTGTAGGGCACATGATAGGTGTAGGGCTCATGATATGTGTAGGGCACATGATAGGGCATATGATAGGGGTAGGGCACATGATAAGGGTAGGACACATGATAGGGTAGGGCACATGATAGGTGTAAGGCACATGATAGGGGTAGTGCACATGATAGGTGTAGGGCACATGATAGGGGTAGGGCACATGATAGGGATAGGGCACATTATAGGGCACATGAAAGGGCATATGATAGGGGTAGGGCGCATGATAGGGGTAGGGCGCAGGATAGGGGTAGGGCACATGATAGGGTAGGGCATATGATAGGGCACACGATAGGGCATTGCTTTGTAGCTATAATAAATATGTAACAGAAATGTCCCTAGGATGACTGATAAAGTTTAGAGAACTTATTATTTTCAAAGTATTCAAATTTCATCCATAAATCTTTTTTTAAAAATTTCAATGGTTAGTGTATTATATTAAAAAAAGTCTTTGTTTTTTATTAAAATGGGGAGTGTATTCCACCAAAACAAGCCACAAAATATACTAAATTCTTACAGAGCGGTGTTCTTTTAGTTTACTCATAAAATATCTTGTCACAGCTACAGGGAGCTCTAGCAGCAGAAAGGAGTCGGCACATGATGGAGTTAAAGACATTTGAAGAGAATCTCAAGCACCAGTTTGTTCTGGTAAGTGGCGTCTTGCATAGAGTTTGAATGTATGTTAGAGGTTCTGGTTAGTAAGTGGTATCATAGGCAGGGCTAGAATGTCTTCTGTTGGAGGTTTTATGTTAGTAAGTAATATCATGCATAGATTTAGAATATCTTCTGTTGGAGGTTTTATGTTAGTAAGTGGTATCATGAATAGATTTAGAATATCTCCTGTTGGAGGTTTTGTTAGTGCATTGTTAGTGTCATCATACATAGGGCTACTAAGTCCATTATAGTTTTGGTTAGTACATGGTATCATACATAAGGCTATAAAGTCTTCTGTTGGAGGTTTAGTTAATGAGTAGAATCATACATAGAGTTTGAATGTCTGTTAGAATTTTGGTTAGTAAGTTGCAACATAGATAAAGCTATAGTTTTATGACTTATATTGCTTTTAGTTGCCTATTCTTCTAGAAACCTAAGTCATATTGTATTAGATAAAACCAGACAGGAAATGAAGATTTTTTTGTTTTATGTCAGCTTTCAGAAAATTATTAATTATGTATATTTAGAAACTTAATCAATCTATCCCTAGTTGTCTGTTCTATTACAGACAAAATTAATAAAAAGCTTACTAAATCATTCCATCTGTGTGTTATTACTTCCCTGAAATGTTAAAAGGCTTCTGTATATATTTTTTAAATCAATTTTTGCTGCTCATAGGGTAGATAATCTGTAGATTTTAAAAATTGGTTTATCTCCCCTAGCTAAATAAAAAAAATATCATCAAAATATCCCTTTTGATGAAGCTTGTTATTAAAGCTAATGAAAAATACTTGCTTACAAAATTATTTTGCTACTTCAGGAGCTTCAGATTGAGAAGGATAAGTACAACGAGCTTTTAAAAAAATTTCAAGATCAGGAAAAAGAGAAATCATATTTGGTAGGTAGATCGTCTGTAAACAAAATGTTTTTCACCATAGCTTCTAGACCCCAATAGCTTGTTTAGTCTCTAACCGATTTTTTTATTCATCATGTGACTTTCTGTACAATCAATGCTGGTCATAACAACTATGCTTAAAAATATTTCTTGCATAGCTTACACATTAGTCTTGCAGAGATGCAATAAAAAAAGGGTCATTGTCCAGTTTGCCCTATTCTGTTTTATGGACATTGAAATGAGAGAGTGGACATCGATGTGGGTCATATCCATTACCAACCCTCTATCAGTATATTTTTGAGATGGACTTAATTTAATATTGTAATTAAGGCACACTTTCTGACATAATGGTCAGATCTATTTCTTTAAATGCCAAGGCTAATGGGCATAGTGCTGACCACACGATTTCTTCATATCCCAAGTCAACAAAACCCAGAGATGTGTATGGTCCTACAGTTCTACCCTCCCACTGTATCTTGTAAATCCTACAGTCCTCCCACCCCTCACACACAATCTTGTCCGTCCTACCCCCCCCAAAACACACACTATCTTGTAAGTTCTCCCCCACCACTGTATCTTGTTGGTCCTACAGTCCTAAGCCCCCCCCCCCCCACTATCTTGTAAGTCCTACCCCCCTCCACTATATTGTAAGTCCTACCCCTACTACTGTATCTTGTAAGTCCTACCCCCCCCCCCCCCCCACACACACACTATCTTGTAAGTCCTACCCCCCTCCCCCCACACTATTTTGTAAGTCCTACCCCCCTCCCCCCACACTATTTTGTAAGTCCTACCCCCCTCCCCCCACACTATTTTGTAAGTCCTACCCCCCTCCCCCCACACTATTTTGTAAGTCCTACCCCCCTCCCCCCACACTATTTTGTAAGTCATACACCCCTCCCCCTGACACCCACAGCGAGAGAACCAGCGGGCCCTGCTAGAGATCCAGTACAAGGAACAAATAGACGAACTTGTACGGCAAGTCACGGATGGCAAGAAGAGAGGGGCAGAGAGGGAGGAGGAGCTGACAAGGGAGATCACTAGCTTGAAAAAAATCATCAAGGACTTGCAAGATAGGCTAGGTGAGTTGTGTACCATTGAAATTGTATGCTAGAGATGACAGCATAGTAATTAATTTTTAAATTGTTAGGTTGAAATAACATATCTCATTAAATAAATGGGTGCAGGGGTAAAATTGTAGCAGTTCATACAGCAGGCCAGTTTTAAAGAATCCTTGAAAAAAATATATTTGGTTACATAAATTAGTTTCTAAAATTGGATTTAGGCTTCCTCTGTTTCTGCATGAAGCATTAGTTTTACTATGAAAGGGAGATTAAAAATATTGTAAACTTAATAATTGTATAGGTATAATATGCTTTAAGAGAGTTACTTTCTGACAGTTTTATACTTTCCTTTTGAATAATTGTAAAGCGTTTCATTTTGAGTTCGATTTAACATCAATGAATTGTTTTAAAATTTATTCTTTTAAATTTTGTACTTTAGATTATATATATAACTATATATATAACTATATATATATATATATATATATATATATATATATATATATATATATATATATATATATATAACCTATGCATTTGAGAGAAACCATGACCACACAACTTTTAAAAAACTATTTTAGCTCGACTTGATACATCAGACTCAGGGAAGTTAGCGGAGTACAAAAACAAGTTGTCTCAGGTGCAGCAGGACCTGCTGGATGCCAGAAGCAATGTGACCACACTGGAGTCTCAAGTCAAGGAGGCGCAGGAAGAGGTGAAAGTTGTTTTCTACTGTCCTGAACTATAATAAGTATAATATGCTTCAAAGATGTGATGTGTGCTTTTTGTACATTTTTAATTTAAAAAAAATATATTTGTATATATATATATATATATATATATATATATATATATATATATATATATATATATATATATATATATATATATATATATATATATATATATATATATATATATATATATATATATATATATATATATATATATATATACCTTGTCAGTCCCACAGTCCTCCATATATATATATATATATATATATATATATATATATATATATATATATATATATATATATATATATATATATTTATATATATATATATATATATATATATATATATATATATATATATATATATATATATAAAGGCTATATATATAGACAGACGTACACATACACATAGATATATATATAAATATAGATAGATTTAGATAGATATAGATAATATATAGATATAGATATAAAATTAGATATAGATAAAGATAGATAATTGAAAAAATAAAACCCATAACTGTATTTTTTATCCTCAGGCCCAATTTCTCCAAAATGTTGTGCGTAAAGAGTGTGAAGAACGGTTTGAGTTGACTGAAGCACTGAGTGAGGCCAGGAAGGAACTTCTACAGCTGAAGAAACCCCCAGGTGAGTGGAGGATTTGTACTCAAATGTAATGGGCTGTACTCAACTGTAAAGGGCTGTACTCAAATTTACTTGACTGTACTATATTGTAATGGGCTGTACTCAACTGTAATAGGCTGTACTCAACTGTAATGGGCTGTACTAGAATGTAATGGGCTGAACTCAACTGTAATGGGCTGTACTCAAATTTACTTGACTGTACTATATTGTAATGGGCTGTACTCAACTGTAATAGGCTGTACTCAACTGTAATGGGCTGTACTAGAATGTAATGGGCTGTACTAGAATGTAATGGGCTGTACTAGACTGTAATTGGCTGTACTAGACTGCTGACTAGACTGTAATGGGCTGTACTAGACTGTAATGGGCTGTACTAGAATGTAATGGGCTGTACTAGACTGTAATGGACTGTACTAGACTGTAATGGGCTGTACTAGAATGTAATGGGCTGTACTAGACTTAATGGACTGTACTCAACTGTAATAGTCTGTACTATACTGTAAAGGGCTGTACTATACTGTAATGGGCTGTACTATACTGTAATGGGCTGTACTAAACTCTACTAAACTGTACTAGCTTGCTCTAGACTACTAGACTACACTAAAATGGTGCATTGGATGCCTCTAATGAATGTTGATTCAATCTTAATTTTATCTTTTAAGATTATTAAATCACTATGATGGTATGTTTGAGTTGTATAGCCCAGGATTACTAACCTAAAAGTATTGATTTTTTTGTACACAAGCACATGTCCGTAGACGAACCTGCACTGACAGTTTCTCGATTTTTGTCTGGAAAAGCTAAAGGTCTGAGATAGTGCTGATAAAACTGATTCTTCAACATATGCCAAAGTCCATGAAGCAGATGAACTCTACTTCATCTGTCCCAAGGACTATTTGGTCTGACCGGGTACTTAATATTGAATTTCACTATGCATAAAAAACTTAGTAGAAAAATGTTAAAATCCACAGGGGGATATCCCAGCTTACAGAAGAGAGGAAGCATCAGCAGTATCCTGAGTCCGTCTCAGCCAAACTCTCCAGCCCCTCTGGCCAGTGGAGAGGACCCGGGGTCAAAGTTCAAGTCCCAGACAGCTGCCAGCAGTGTCAGCCTGAGTTACAGCCAGGAGAGCATCAGCGCCAGATTGAACAGCTCGGAGAGAAACGGTGACGCTCGGTTGTTAGAGAGCAGGAAAAGAATAGCCAATGTGATGGGCAGGAGATGAGGGCGTGTGTGTTGATTTAGTGATCCTGGATGTGTAAATTTTGATGTCTACATTGTTAGGCCGATGTATTATTTGTCAGTTTTATTACATTTATACATATTCATAAAAACAAGCTAAACACAGCCTAAATACAATTATAAATTCTTATATACTGGTGGTTGTATCCAGATTAGGCATGATTTTGGGTTTGTTTATCTTCCAGATTTTTTTAATGCTACTGACCAAAATATGTTTGTGATTGTCTTAAAAAAAAAACAGGCATGAGTAGAAACATTTTAGTGTGGCATTTGATGCATAGATGTAAATAAATGTACATTTTTCTGCTTTTATAATCAATTTATAATTTGTAGTATGATTATTTTATTGGCTTATACACTGGTTGTAGTATAACTACATGTGTGATGAAGTATTACATGAGATTAAAAGTGGAATAAAAACTAATCTATCCAACACACTGGGTTTGTTTTATTTGACCTTGTGATCTTATCTTGGACCTGAGGGGCACTTGAAGTCAACTGGAGGGGGTGTTTATGTGGTGACGAGGGGAGGGGTAGTTTTTGTCCTAATGTTTTCAAGTTTTTTTTTTGTTATGGCACAGGCCCAATAAGTCTATCTTCTCCAGTTCCCTCCCCTGAAAAGCTGGGCTGTGTTTGTTGGGATTTTAAAGATAAGATATAGGCATTGCATTATTTCAAACAGAGAATCTGTTTTTAATTCCTTGTTAGACTTAACTGTAGAGATAAATTATTGGTATCCCATTATTTCAAACAGAACACCTATTTTGACATTTATGTTAAACTATACTGAAAAGATAAATGTATTCCATTATTTCAAACAGAGAATCTTTTTTTACATTCTAGTTAGACTTTACCATGAAGTCTCTCAATAAGTTAAACGAGAAAAAAACAAGGTGACAGTAAAGTAAGTAAAGTTTCCTTCTCAAACCTGAAGGTCTATGGGGCAAGTGAAGTAGAGTTCACTTGTTTCTGTGACCTCAGTCTATGAAGAGAATGTGGTCAGCACTATGCCCAGCCGCCTTTACTTTCCCTAACGTGAGTTAGGTACCCATCAGAGTTGGGTGGACTCAGGGACTCAAGGTGACAGTAGTATCAACATATTCATCCAGTCAATTTGAGTGGCAAGCATTTAATGAAACTACCACTACAGAAAACAACAATGTTATAATATTGCTGTGCACTATCCTCTAACATGAAGAAGGTTAAGACCCGCCCTGCGCAACCAGACACCCTTGCCTCAGCAGACGTGTAGGTTTTTTTTGTTTACCTGCACTGTAAGCGACTCTTGCTACTTGTTTTGTTTGTGGTTCACGCCCACCCCCCTCCCTCATCATCAACAGGATGTGTCCGGGATATCCGGACCTTGAGGGCCAGTTAACACTTAGGCCCTAATTAGATATGTGTATCAGACAAATAGTTCAGACTTAACTAGTCAAATAACAGTAGTATGTAAAACAAATAATTCAGTCTTACAGAACAAATAGAAGTTGAATATGTGTGTAAAACATAATTGTCGTGTAATTTATAATATAAATGTAGGCTTTACAGACTTTGCAAGGGATTATTAATTACTTAAAGATGTAAAAGAAATGACAAATTTGGATAAATCCCCGAGCCATATAAAGTTATATAACATTTTCATAGACCATGAAATGTCAAGTAAGAACATTCTTTAAAAAAACATTTAATTAAAAAAAAATAAAGCAAAGATAAAGTTAACGCAGAAATATATCTGTTCCATTCTGTTCTGTTCTTCTCTCTTCTGTTCTGATTCTGTGGGCTCTGTTCTGTTCTTTTTCGTTCTATTTTTTAAACAACTGCTTTATACATTTCTTTGCCATCAATATTTGCTTAGCTCCGGATAGACCTTGATTCTGCTTTTTGTGTTCTGCTCTATCTTAAGACAGTCGGTTATTCTGTTCGATTCTGTTCTTATCTCTATGGCTCTATCGTTTTTGTTTAGGTTCTATTTATCTGTTGTTTTCTTTTTTTCCTTTCTCTTTACATGTTGTTTTCTTATTTTCCTTTCTCTTTACATGTTGTGTTCTTATTTTCCTTTCTCTTTACATGTTGTTTTCTTATTTTCCTTTCTCTTTGCCTGTTTTTGTTCTGTTTTCAACCCGTGCTCTGTTCCAAATAGCCAATACAATTTTGACATGCATTTGAATTACACTTTTTTTGTTATAATAGATAGTGTACTCAGTCATAAGTTTAGGGCAACCATGTTTTTCCAACTATATCACCTACACCTTAAAGAAACAGCTGCATGTTAGTGTGCTTAACCAGAGACAATGTGATTAAATATGCAGTTCTTTATTGATAATAAATTCTATTCTTTTTTTCTTCTTTTTTTTCGACTTCGGTATTTTTATCTGTTATGTATTCTTTATGTTGTTTTTCTTCTTCTTTTTCCCCGTTGTTATTTTATCTTTAGTACATTATCATGGACTTCACGCAGGTGATGCATCTTGAACAAGACTGGTTGATATAATTGACAGGGAGTTGCATATCAAAATAGTTTGTAATAATCAAAATAACACACTTTTTACCAACAATATTTTTCAATAACATAGTCTGGGGACCCAAAAATCAGGAGGACGTAGAGAGGAGGGGGAAAGGAGGGGAATTACTTTCCGTTCAGTCACCTCTTATTTTGTTCCCGCAGTTTTGTTGGCTACATATGACACCACTCCCCCCACCTCCTTTCTCGTCTTGCGTTTTAAGTTTCATAAAAATCTAGCTTGGACACGGAAACGATTTTTCTACAGGTAAACTTTGGGGGCTGTGTCAAGGTGTACTGGGCCTACCAGAGTTGTCATGTCATGTCTACACGGTTATCAAAACGTTGCACACAAAAAAAATAATCTTAAGCTAGCTTAGCGTGTGCACACTAACCACACACGAACTCAACCTGTCGTTTGCAAATGACAAAAAATAGTTGTGTTAAAATAAAAGACTGTTTGTTTTAGCGTGGATCACTTATCTTGAAACCACTGAAGCGGAACGACTGGTAAGTCAGACACGGTTGCACCGTTGCACCTAATACATATGCTCAGGCTGTGGGATAAGGAAAATATGTTTTTGTCCGTTGTTCACTTTACAAAGGTAACGTAAAAATTATTAAGTAAACCTTTTTAGCAATTGAGGCAGATATTTTGTGTGTGTATGGAAATTACAGAACATTACTTAATCAATTAATATTACCGTAAAAATTCGATCACAAATATTATTTAATTAATTAATTATTATTAACATAAGAATTCGAAGTCTGACACCAAGTTTGACCTATTTTCGTGACATACTTTTTGTAACATGTCAGAACTGTATTTTACCTTCAATAGAAGCACAACTAAACGTGGTCGTACATAAAGACGTCGAGCACCCAACATTCACACGCCGAAATAAAAAGCCTCTCTACACACGAAAAGACCGCACCGAGCTATAATCTCGCTTAAATTAGCTTTAGATTTAACGGTTAAGTCTTTTTTCATATTTGCTCAAAAAAAATAAAATAAAAATAATATTCAGTGTTTTTTATATACAGTGGTATGTAGTGAGGTCAATCTGTTACATACATGGGTCATATGTGTGTGTAACAGTGGCGTAGCGAGGTCGGGTGTCACCCGGTGCGGCACTTAATGGTGTCACCCCCCCCCCCCAGAGGCGTTGCTACCTTTACCGGGGACAAACTTTCAAGTTTTCGATTTGCACCCCCCCCGGCCCCCTCAAACTTTCGATTTGCATTCCCCTCAAGTTTTTGTCTATATATTTTGCTATTTTTTTACCTTGGTGTCACCCCCCCCTAAATGGTGTCACCCGGTGCGGTCCGCACCCCCGCCCCCTCTCGCTACGCCCCTGGTGTGTAATATAATGGGGTCAGTGTTTTATCTAGTGAATCAGACAATGATACAGTGGGGTCTGCGTTTATTTATATACTGGAGTCAGTCTGTTATGTATTGGGGTCAGTCTGTTATGTATTGGGGTCAGTCTGTTACATACTTGGGCCAGTGTGTAACATGATGAGGTCAGTGTGTTATGTAGTTGGGTTAGTCTGTTATACTGTGTTCTGAAAATAAAATAAACATGCTTTCTTTAATTAATCCATTGGCTGCTCAAAGGTAAGCAACCATAGCTTTTATTTAAGAAAGCTAGTTAGTTTAGTTTTCTTATTTCCGCGCATTCAAAAGATTTTAAAAAAATGTTTTATCTAAGTTATTGTTCATAAACAACAACACACATAACAACAGGGGGCGCTATTATGATAATATTAGGGTGTATTCCCGCCATGGTCATCTCCCTTGTAAATTTTGGAATGCGACTAGTATGAGAAAACAATGTCGTGAAATGCTTTTAGGACATACTGAACATAACAATAACATCTGACGGTGTTAAAGGTGCACAAAGAAGTATCTGGTCTGTTAGTTTTTTGTCTTTTGATGAATATTTGCGTAGCTGGGTTAGATGGTGTGGGGGAAGTGGTAAAATCATATATAAGCTTGGACCTTTAAATCTATGATGCTACACACACTGAGAGGCGTGGCCTAGCGGTAGAGAGCTACACTGCTAACTTAGGAGTATATTGTTCGAATCCGGTTTCAAATCAGTAGAACCATGTGTCTTGGGCACGAACGGGAAACAAAGGTGATATACAGTTTTAAAAAACACGTCATTTAATAGAATACTGGCCTTCGCTAATTGTGAAATGAAAAATCACTTTGCACAGTTTACGTTGAATTAGCATTTATTTACCTTTATCGTTTTGATGATGTGTGTTTTTCCCACGTTTTCTTTAACTTGCTTTCGCGTCTTTCCAATCAAATCTTGCGATCAAAATTTTGGGCACTTCCCAGTTAGCTAGCGCGCTGAAATTTTCAGGGAAGCTTTGTTTCCAATGACAATAGAATATTCAATTGTTATTATTACTAAATTGATCCATGGAAACATTTTATTGATCATTTTAGACCGCTATATAATTGTACAAAAAACGTGGGGAAAAAGGGACATAACCCAATAATTGTAATTTGATGAAAACAAGGTTCGGTACTCTCCCTCTTTTTGCTTACTGAGTAGTTGTCACGCGGTGTTTGTGTACAAACAACCAGAACGTAACAACTGGTATGGGGGAGACGATATGGTCGAGTGGTTGGGCACACGATTGCCAACCCACTCGACACGGGTTCAAGGCACGTGTTTTTTACGAGTTGTCTTCGTTTACCCAAAAAAAAAAGTGAATGCGAAAAGATAAAATCGATAGCAAGATTTTAAAGCAAACAAACAGACAAAGACTAAAAAGTAGAAAATAATTATCATTAAAATTTTTAAAAAAACCCACGTTTTCTGATTGAACTAAAAAGTAGAAAATAAATGCTATACATCACAATAATGCAAGCGATCACTCTACTATAAGCGATGAAAAACGTGGGGCGCCTTGATTTTCTTACAGTTTCTAATACTGTTGACTCTCTACAAGCTCCCTAATAAAAGTCAATAGTATTATCTAATCAATAGTAATACAACTTTTACATCTTATATTAACAATGACCGATAAAAAACTTTTACTTCGGCGCCCCACGTTTTTCATCGCTATAGTAGAGTGATCGCTTTCATTATTGTGATGTATAGCATTTATGTTCTACTTTTTAGTTCAATCAGAAAACGTGGGTTTTTAAAAACTTTTTTAATGATAATTATTTTTAAAATTGAATTATATTCAGCAAACATTTGTATTTTGTTTACATTATCTTTCTTGTTCATTTTGACACATAATGCGGACATTTCACACTTGGTTTAGATAAAAAACAACAACTTGTCATTGCATAGTCACCTAGGCAAAATATGCTACTTTTTAAAATTCAGAATATTTCGTACTAAGCCTAAAAAACGACAGGCGTTCTATACAATGCCTAGATTTTTTACTAGTTAAGTAGAATAAGAAACTATGAACATACTTTAAATAAACGATGTTACAGATGAAACTATGTACATACTTTAAATAAACGATGATATTGATGAAACTATGAACATACTTTAAATAAACAATGTTATTGATGAAACTATGAACAAACTTTAAATAAACGATGTTACAGATGAAACAATGAACATATTTTAAATAAACGATGATATTGATGAAACTATGAACATACTTTAAATAAACGATGATATTGATGAAACTATGAACATACTTTAAATAAACAATGTTATTGATGAAACTATGAACATACTTTAAATAAACAATGTTATTGATGAAACTATGAACAAACTTTAAATAAACGATGTTACAGATGAAACAATGAACATATTTTAAATAAACGATGATACTGATGAAACTATGAACATACTTTAAATAAACGATGATATTGATGAAACTATGAACATACTTTAAATAAACGATGATATTGATGAAACTATGAACATACTTTAAATAAACGATGTTATTGATGAAACTATGAACATACTTTAAATAAACGATGTTACAGATGAAAACTTAAAACATGGACCAGGAGATAGAAAGCTCAGGAGAGAATGACCAACTGACCGTCCAGAAGAAGTGGAAAGTTGACAAAGAAATCGCCGATAAATTAAGCCGAGAAAACGAACCTTCTAGGTTAATCCCGCTAGCCAAATGGGTGGTCACCTTGATACTGGGTACGGTCATCACGTGTCTGTTCGTCTCGACTAAGCTCTCCTTCATCGCTCTGTCCAGTCTACTGTCCAGTGCCAAACCAAAGAGTCAAACATTTGACCATGTAGAAGTAAGTTTTACCTTTTTTGGTTATTTAAAATACAAGTGCCAGGGGTCGGCAACCTGCGGCTCGCGAGTCGCATCCGGCTCTTTTGATGTAAAGATGCGGCTCGCCAGTTCCATAATAATTATATTATTTTATTTTCATAACTTATAAAAATATTTTACTTAAAAAAAACCCACAAATTTAAACAAGATAAAAACATTAATAATTGCTGGAGTAGAGTGTATACATACAGCTGACAGCTGCTTGGGTACAAGGCCCAGCTCCACAGCTGTGCTGTGGCCAGCCCCGTGGCAGTAGTTCCATGCTTTCCACTACCGTAGCGCACATTATTTTTCGAATATTTTAAATAGTAATTGTTATTTTATTCAGATGGCATTTTTTAAAAATGTGTTAGCGTGCATTAATCTGACTTGAGAGATATTTTTTTAGTTATTAGCTTCTAAATTGAGTGGGGAAAGTGCTAAAGTTATATAATTTGATTTTATTATCATAGCAGAGCTAGCTAAAATACGTTATTATGTTTCATACTTACACCCATTTATTTTAAATGCATTTGCCTAATCCTACTCAAATACCAAATATTGAAATAAATTGTTAGTGGCTCTTTTATTTCTGGGAGAATTTGGAAATTATAAATTTAGGCTCTTGCCGACCCCTGTGCTAGTGCCAATTTCTGTTATTCAAGTTGGTACCAAAAAGAATTGCTCACGTGATTACACTTCCGAATGATATTTATGCATGTCATGTCTATAAAGAATAACTCGCAATAAGTTATTGTTATATGAAAACATGTTTCCTAAGGTACATTTATACTTACTTGCTGCAAGGTTTTTTTTTTCTAGACATGTATAGCATACATAAATGTCGGGATTTCTTTGGACTAAAATCGGTCAAGATCAAGAGTGGGATCATGTTCCATGGCCAACCCATGTTGTCTTTTCTTATGCCTTGGTTCGCTCCCCTTGAATTCTGCGTGCACCCATTGTTTCCCGTGGGAGAATAGCATCATATGTTATAGTGCCTAGCATCAATATATATTTTAAATACAAACACACACACACACATATATATATATATATATATATATATATATATATATATATATATATATATATATATATATTTAGGTCTATACTTATGTGTGTTTGCGCGTATGAAGGGGCTATTTAATAATGTTTATATATCCGGATATATACATTAAATACAAGTGAAATAGTGTAGAGAATCTGTGATATAGTGGGGTGACGGACAGTGAGAGAATATATTCTATAACATTATATATATATATATATATATATATATATATATATATATATATATATATATATATATATATATATATATATATATATATATATTTGCGTGTGTTTGTGTGTTTCAACTTTGTATAGAAAGGGGCTATTAAATAATGTTTATATGTCCGGATGTATACAATAATTATAAGGGATATAGTGTAGTCAAACTGTATTATAATAGACTGTAATATAGTGGTGTGACAGATGTAAGAGGATATATTGTACAATATACATATACTATATATATATATATATATATATATATATATATATATATATATATAATATATATATATAGTTATATACATATAGTTATATATATATATATATATATATACATAGTTATATATATATATATATAGTTATATATATATAGTTATATATATAAAACTAAAGTGACCATCATGCAACATTCCCTTGCAGTGGACACGCTACAATGGCCAGTTTTTTGTCATCTACCTGGCCATCACTATTCCATACTTTCTGCTCTTTGTTCGGGCCGTGTGGATGGCCATAAAACCCAGCGTCTCCGAATGGCCGAGAAAATGCGTTATCCTATGTGTAAGTATCTGTTTAAAAAAATGGGGTGCAAGTTACATGGTATAATTTATACAATAGAACAAACATTTTGAGACACTGAAGTGCGTAGGTTGGTTTTCCCAGTGATTTTCCTCCGGCGGGGAGGAGGGGGGGGGGCCTTTCAGAGAGAGGCGCACTTGAAATTTCCTTGTTAAAGTATAATAATATTTTTTGTATATTTTTTTTTCTATTTAGTCCTTGGTAGCGAGGTGGGGGAGGGGGGATGGAATAGAGGGAGAGGTGGGGGGGGGGGGGCGGACGAACAGTGGAAGCACTCATGGCGGGGTAAGGGGTTGCCTCCCTGGAGAAATTTGCCTGAAAGTAACTGTTTATCTCTAACCTTTTGCAGCTTAACCAGCTGCTAAGAGCAAAATTAATAAGTCTGTGCAGTAGCGTAGCGAGGGGGGGGGGGGGACATATGTCCCCGGGTGCCGACCTTAGGGGGGGCGCCAAATTGAAAGTTGAGGGGGGGGGTGCAAAAATGAAAAGTTCGAGGGGGGGGGGGGGTGCAAATCGAAAATTTGCTCCCAAGGGGGCGCCAAATTGAAAGTATGTCCCCGGGCGCCGGGAAGGATCGCTACGCCTCTGAGTCTGTGAGACAGTTTAATTTTTTAAGAATGGAAATATTTAATGCAACATAATTTTTTTATTTTTTTAATTTATTTTTTTTTTTTAAGATTTCTGCTATTTTAGAAAACTAAATATAAGATATTTGAAGACAACTTAAAGACAATTATTTTCGCAGTGTGTTGTGGCCGGTACTTTAGAACCACTTGGCATCGTCATCCTTGCTCTCAAAGTACTGCCGGCCTACAGTCCCGTGGTGTCTGCTTGCCTTCTCTGCTGTGTGGTCGTCCCGTCCTTTGTCATAGCGACCGCGGAGTCGTTTCTGGATGGGGATCTTCTAAGGTGGAAGGTTCTCAACGTGTTGGCTACACTGCTCATGCTGAGTGAGTAGAGTCGTGGTACTTAAGTTCTGTGAGCGTGAGCACTTTAATGACGTTGTTTATACTTAGCTGCTGGGGGCAGCTCGTAATCTTGTCAGTTCGACATATAAATTAGAAATCGTTTTTTATTCAACAATTTTCCAATTTTTATTTTTATGAGAAATATGTAATATACACACACACACCAACTGTATAATAAATGTGTTGTGTTTAAAAACTATATATATATATATATATATATATATATATATATATATATATATATATATATATATATATATATATATATATATATATTATATAAGCGTATATATATATACACATACACGTATATATATATATTATATATAGGCGTGATTTATATATATATATATATATATATATATATATATATATATATATATATATATATATATGCACACACACACACATATACATATATATATATATATATATATATATATGTATATATATATATATATATATATATATATATATATATATATATATATATATATATATATATATATATATATATATATATATATATATATATATATATATAAGCGTATTTTTGTGTATTTCAAGCTGGCGTTGCTGGGACTGCATACATGGTTGTCGAGACGAGTCACACTTCGCGGGATATCGTACACGCTGCCGCGGGGGTTGTAACTTTAGGCATCGCATGGTTGCCATGGTTACAGCGGTACATCACGACGCCTCTGGTTGAGGGAATGACTGGTGAAATGCATAGAACAGAGAACGAAGGTTTGGACCTTGTGTTTACAAATTTATATTAACTGTTGATTACAGTGAGTTTCGTGGTACGCGGAGTTTTGATTAGAGGTGTTTTGTTCACTGGAGGTTTTTACAGGCTCAGTGTTTGTTTCAGACTTTTTCTCCGGGGGCGGGGGGGGGGGGGGCACTTAATAATTTCGGACTAAATGTTCTATATAAATTCCATTTCGTTCGGATTGGGGGGGGGGGGGGGGGGGACGGTAGACTTTCTGTACGTATTTTGAAACTATTTTATTTGTTGGTATGAAAGTAAAAGATTCTATGGAGTTGATTATGAAAAAATTTTAATCGAAAAATAATAAATTAATTTTCTCTTTAAATACATTCAATGTAAATATGTGCTTGAATAACATAGCCAGCATTTATATAATTTTTTTTATATTTAAAAAAAATAATTTGGCTTTATGACAGAAACATATTTGATCATTTTAACCTAACAATATTTTATTACATTAAATGAATGTATTTTATTCTGTAACAGAAACCAGGCCCCTCTTACTTCAAGCAAGCTCAACAAATATTTCTATAAACAACTCCGAGAGGAGAAGACATCAAATTTTTTTCCTACAAAACACAGACCAATTAACAACGTGGAAAACTTCCGTGATCCTGTATTTTGTCAAAATTCTGGCCACTTTCGTTTTCTCATTCATATTTTTCTACATCGATTCTGAATTCCCGATAAACTTCAACGAAGAATTGCACTCAGCTTTTTTGGCCGGGTGGGATTTTGATGTCAGCATACAAAACGATCGAACTTGGGTTAACTTTGGTGTGAATTTATTTGGCGGGCTAATATGTTACGTCCTGGTCTTGATCGTCTGCCACACAAACACCCAGAGAGGTTGTCTGGGAGTGCCACACGTGCTGTCCTTGCCCTTAGTTGTCACAATCGTCTGCGTGGACGTGTTCTGTCAAAGTTTCATCGACTTGCAAGATTTCTGCGCAGGCAATGATGAGCGTTTGTACATTGTATTTCCGGTAGCCTTTATTCTAACTCTTGGACAGTCTTTAGGGCTAGGCAGACATGCATTCAGGAGAGAAAAAATTCATCTGCAGAAAGAAAAAGTGGTAAGTTTTTTTTTCTATATCAAAGAGTTAATCATTCATGTTGTATCTTTTTAATCATGGCTTATTTTAGTTTTCAACTTGAAACAGGTTATACGATCAACAAGCCTTAGTTTATTTACAATAATTATATATCGTGAATTATAAAAGTTCTTGAATTGAGACTTAGTATTAGAATAGATATGTAGTCATGCGGTAAGGGGTAGGCTAGGGTTTGGATTAGGACTACAACTTGAGCGTTGTGTTAAGTGCAGATGGATATCTTCTGTTCATATTATATAAAGAGACCAGTTGATCGCCCAGATTAATAAAACAACTAATTAACATTTTACAACAATCGAAACATAAAAACTTAATTCAATTCAATAAAGCTTTTAAAACTAATTTTGAAAAACCACATTAATAGACGAGAAAGGTTTATTTTTAAATTGAACATTACGACAAACCTGAAACTGTTATAACAATGCCTGAGGATTGTGACGACTATGTTTCAGCTTTTCTGGATACCCGGCTACAATGGCGCCATATTGGACTCGTGGCTGCTTCTAGACCGACGTCAGACGATCAGAGCTGGACGGTGGTCAAGACGAGACAAAATCAAACACTTGAAGCCCCGCGTCTACATCTGTACCACCATGTACAGAGAGGTGAGTTACACAATAAATGTGTCATGTATAGGAAGATAGTCCGTGGCAGGTTTTTCTTTCAGACATTTTTCTTCGGGGTTGTACCTAAAACTTCCTAGTTTAAATTAATATTTACTATAGAAATATTTTTTTGGTCAGGGTGTTGAAAGGGGGGGGGGGGGGGGGGGGGGGGCGGGGGGAGAAAGTGGGCTTAGAGGTGAACTTGTAAATGCTTTTATTTTTAACATGTTTATTTTCACTTCTTATTCATGAAATTCCACTGTACAGCTAAAATATTTAATCTTAAATGAGGAAACGACTGAAGTAATAGCCTGTTATTTGAAGTAATAGTCTGTTATTGATGCATTGCTAGGATGAAAGTGAAATGAAACAGCTACTGGAATCTCTAGCAAAAGTGAACCTCGCCCAGCAGGATGGTGAGACTTTGTTCGAGTCTCACATTGTGTTTGACGGTGGGGTCACCAACGGAAAGTTCTCGGAGTTTTCACTGATTCTCATCTCGTTGTTGGAGGGGACGTTGAGTAAGTTTAGAGTTAACAGTGATTCTAATATTATTGTTTGAGGAGTGGGGGTAGAGTAAGTTTACATTTTTTTTAGTGATTCTCATATTATTTCTAGATATTTAAGCAAGTTAAGATTTCTCATCGATTCTGATATCATTGCTGGAGAGGACGATGAGTAAGTTTAGAACCAACAGTGATTCTCATTCCGTTTTTTTTAAGGGAACGTTGAATAAATTTCGATTTCTGAGTGAATCTTATATCATTGCTGGAGGCGACATTGATTTCTCTCCTAATTTTATCTCGTTATGGGATGAATATTTAATACATCTTAATAAAGTAAACCCAAAAGCACCGCATGCTGCTAATATCTTTTTGTACTTTCGTCTACTCAGATCTAATGGGATTGCAAATTCGATGCTATTGAACATCATTTTCTTAGTTGATTTTTATTTCTCGTTGGTCTTATCTAATCGTTTCCTCCTCTTTACAGTAGCTACAAAATGTTCTTAGATATTCCCTGTCAGTCTGGTGCTCGCCGAGTTCTAAATAAAGTATACGTGTTATAATTTTTTATTTCGTCAAATCACACAACCAGACCCAAGTCAAATGACTTGATTTTTCCCTTCGTTTATTCGATTTATTTACACCTACTTCATTTCCGTGAGGACAATATTTTTCTATTTCAACTTCATGTAATAAAAAATCATAGCTCCGAATTTCCAACGTGTACTCATTAACCTCAGACATCCAGCCCTCAACATGTACGAAGACTGAGACGCCATACGGTGTGAAGTTAAGTTGGCAGCTGGTCAACCCCAGGAATAAACAGATGCTGTTTAACATCCACCTCAAGGACAACACCTTGGTAAGTTTTTAACACCCAGTCCACAGGTAACACTTTGGTAAGTTTTTAACATCCAGTCCAAAGGTAACACTTTGGTAAGTTTTTTAACACCCAGTCCAAAGGTAACACTTTGGTAAGTTTTAACATCCACCTCAAGGACAACACCTTGGTAAGTTTTTAACATCCACCTTTAGGATAACACCTTGGTAAGTTTTTAACATCCAGTCCAAAGGTAACACTTTGGTAAGTTTTTAACATCCAGTCCAAAGGTAACACCTTGGTAAGTTTTAACATCCAGTCCTAAGGTAAAACTTTGGTAAGTTTTTAAAATCCAGTCCAAAGGTAACACTTTGGTAAGTTTTTAAAATCCACCTCAAAGACAACACTTGTTAAATTTTTAACATCCTCATCAAATACAATATAATTGAACTTTAAACTGTGTCAGTTGTTTTTAAACTGAAGAAATACAGGAACCACAGAAGAAAGTCGATACCAAGACACATAAAAATAGATATGTACATAAAAATACTCGCACAACAGACAAAATTTTGATAAGTTAAGTTTTTCAAACATATATATATATATATATATATATATATATATATATATATATATATATATATATATATATATATATATATATATATATATATATATATATATATATATAAACACTTCTAATTAATATCTAGTTTATGTAACCATAATCCTGTAGTTTTGTAAGGAGGAGGTGTGTGTGTTTGAGGGTGGGGGGGGGGACGTAGCTGGTAAATGACCGTACATAGTTTTCATCATCTCTGTCGGTCGCTATAGACGTCTGCTACTCCTTGTTTAACGACCTCTTAATGTCGCCTGTACTCTCGTCACTAATGTACCAGGTCAAGAACAAGAAAAGGTGGAGCCAAATTATGTACATGTCCTATGTGCTGGACTTTCTGTCGAAACAAGGTGGGTTTGACACATATAGGCAGACAGACAAACACACAGACACACACAGACAACAGACACACATATAGACAAACACAGACACACAGGGAGACACACAGACAAAAGAAACACACAGAAACACACACACACAGATACACGCAAACACACACTCATATATATATATATATATATATATATATATATATATATATATATATATATATATATATATATATATATATAGACATAATTTATTTAAATACATTTCTAAAAATTCATCTACATATTTTGTATATCATTTATTATTTTTGTGTGTGTCAATGTTAGTGTTTTCTATTCGCGAACTGTTGTCGGTTCTGAGAAACAAAGCCTGGAATATTGTTTGTATCTGTAACCCTGCATCATACTCCAAGAAAGTTTTAGAAAAATCAAAACAAAATATCCTGGAGAAAAATATTGAAACAACAAAGTTGCCTGACTTTCGTTTGTACATTACCTCCAACATTATTAATAAATTTAAAGGGAGGCAACTTTAAATAGATGTTAAGAACCATTTATTATACTACAATAAGAAACTTGTTTAAAGTCGAACAATAACTTTTGTCATAATAAATATTTTAAAAATAAAGTTGTATAAGAAATGATAATTTAAATTTAAATATGTTGAAAAATTTAATATGTTTAATATAATTATTTTAAAACTCATCAGACTACATTAGTAATATTATTTTTTAGATAATTAAAATCGCGCCAATGTATAATCTGCTCCCATGTTGGTTACTTTGCTGGTTAAAGCAATTATTTTCTACCAACTTTTACTCAACCTGTTTCCTAAGACGCCTCTGTCACAGGGGTCGGCAACCTGCGGCTCGCGAGCCGCATGCGGCTCTTTTGATATCAAGATGCGGCTCTCCAGCTCCTTGAACAAATACTAATAATCTTAATAAAAAAATAAAATATATGACATAAAAAAATGTTAGTGGCTCTTTAAAGCCAGGAAAATTTTGAAAATTGTAGTTTTTGGCTCTTCCGCTTCAAAAGGTTGCCGACCCCTGCTCTGTCATTCTGTTGTCATGGATCGAAACGGGCGAGCGAAATTTCGAACATTTAAACTGACCGACTCGCTTTAAACTTGGCAAATGGGTCAAGACCCGTAAACAATGCAATCTGACATATTGGATGACCAATTAACTTTTTATGAACTGATTAATATATTTTTTTTTAAATTAGTAGGCTGCACGAATACTATTGTGCACTATTATACGAACATTATCATGCTCATTTAGTGTGCAATAATTTTTATTTACCCAACTCTGTTTTTCTGGTCAAATATCAACCAATCAATTAGCCCTTAACCCTTAATGGGGGTTGTTGTGGCACCACAGTTGATTTTCTCAAAATTTCCGCTGTCTCGGTCCTCTGCTGCGCTGTGTAGTTCTTCAACAGGCAGCCCAGTCTAATCCAGAGGCGTAGCGACCCTTCCCGGCGACCGGGGACAAACTTTCAATCTGACGCCCCCCTCGGGGGCAAATTTTCAATTTGCACCCCATCTCAAAATTTCGATTTGCACCCCCCCCCAACTATTTATAATGCAAAAATGCAGCTAAAATGACATTTTAATTTGTTTTTCCAACCCATTTTGGCGCCCTCTAAGGTCAGCGCCCGGGGACATGTGTACCCCCTGCCCCCCTCCTCGCTACGCCTCTGGTCTAATCTTTGATATCCTCCATTCAGTGACGTCTTTGCCTTCCGCAGTGCCTTGCAATATTGTTTTGGATAAGCAGTGGCTTGTGTGACATGCACAAAGCAAATTATCTTGTCTCGACAATGTTCAGCTGACTCTCAAAGAGACCTACCGCTTTAGTGATCCTTCACGGAGATATAGATATTCATTAAATTGTTATCTGAACTGGTCATGCATCGAATGTAGAATCCGTGGTATTTATTTCTCTATAGTATAACGGGTGACGTGACCGTGTGGTCGGGAGGTAGAGCGTACAACAGCTAACCAATAAAGCAGAGGCGTAGCGAGGGGGAGGGCGGGGGGGGCATATGTTCCCGTGCGCCGACCTTAGAGGGGGGCGAAAAATTGAAAGTTTGAGGGGGGGGGGGTGCAAATTGAAAGTTTGAGGGCGGGTGCAAATGAAAAGTTCGAGGGGGGGGGGGTGCAAATCGAAAGTTTGTCCCCGGGCGCCGGGAAGGGTCGCTACGCCTCTGCAATAAAGCCTCGACGTGATCTGAACCCAACCCAACTCGTGTTAGAGGAATTCAATTCAGCTACGTGTACTGCTGACCGTACTGTCTTTTTATATGTCGAGGTCATAGAAACAGATGTACTCTACTTCATTTGCCCCAAGAACCGCGAAGTTCGAAGAGTAACTACTTTTTTATTTACAATATATATTGCAGAAAGTATCTACAGAAATTAGGTCTTTGATCTGTCAAATTTTAAATGAAGTGAAACATATTTTTAATTACAGAGAACTAGTCTTCTCATCAGCTAGCAACAATGGATTGATAATACATACATTATAATTTTATAAATTTTTGTCAATTTGTAGGACAGAAATTTTCTTTATCTAAGTGTCCAAGGATTTCACTATATTCAAATCCGAAAAAAAAATCCTTCTGATTTTCCCCACACAATCTTGTGATTTCCTCCTGAAGATAATTAAATCTGTTGTTATATAACAAATGTATAAAACCGCTATGTAAAGCTGTGTAGTGATCTGATTAAAAAAAACTTAACCTCTGTGTAAATGAGTATTTTAGCTGAGCTTTTTAAATATTTTTTTCTCTACCAACCAGCCGTAACCATTTAAAAAAAATTGTAAGCCAAAGTTCATTAAAATGTATCGCACTGTTTGTTTAATTAAAAAAAATGACTGTATCAGATGAACTGAACGAACAGACGTACATCCTGACGACAGATGCTGACGTCATGTTCACACCACAGTCTGTTGAGGCTCTGCTGGACCTCATGTCACGAGACAAATCTATAGGTCAGTGGTGAACTTTAGGTCAGTGGTGAACTTTAGGTCAGTGGTGAACTTTAGGTCAGTGGTGAACATTAGGTCAGTGGTGAACATTAGGTCAGTGGTGAACTTTAGGTCAGTGGTAAACATTAGGTCAGTGGTGAAGATTGTGTCAGTGGGTGAACATTGTGTCAGTGGTGAACATTGTGTCAGTGGTGAACATTAAGTCAGTGGTGAACATTAGGTCAGTGGTAACAACATTAGGTCAGTGGTAAACATTAGGTCAGTGGTAAACATTAGGTCAGTGGTAACAACATTAGGTCAGTTGTGAACATTAGGTCAGTGGTGAGCATTAGGTAACAACATTTGGTCAGTGGTGAACATTAGGTCAGTAGTAACAACATTAGGTCAGTGGTAAACATTAGGTCAATGGTATAAACATTCAGTGCTGAATATTAGGTCAGTGGTGAACATTAGGTCAGTGGTGAACATTAGTTTAATACACAAAAGGTCAAATGGTTAGCTCTGTAATTCTAAATCATAGATCAGCATCTGTCAACTAGGAGAGGTCAGACAAAATAGTACTTTATGAACAACTGGCTTTCATCCTACGTCCTTGCTACGTTGCGTAGTAACGATAAACAAAAAAAAATCATTAAATAATAACAATATCGAGTATTTTTATAATGAATGTTGTCGCAAGACTTAGAAGGCGAAGGCAGTGCTAATCAAAGAAATAAAATACTGGCTATTAAAAAATCATATTTTTTTCATGATAAATTCATTTATGGATGGTGTTTTATACTTTATATGTTTCCCATAAACACCTGTGACCAATCCACTTCCTGTTGGCTGTTACTTATCCATTACTTATCCACAGGGGCTGTTTGTGCACGGACACACCCCATGGGGTCAGGACCCATTGTCTGGTACCAAATTTTTGAGTACGCCGTTGGGCATTGGTTCCAGAAGGTTTGATACGTTTATATCTACTTGACATCTAGAGCAGGGAGACTTGACATCTAGAGCAGGGAGACTTGACATCTAGAGCAGGGAGACTTGACATCTAGAGCAGGGAGACTTGACATCTAGAGCAGGGAGACTTGACATCTAGAGCAGGGAGACTTGACATTTTAAAGTTTTTAGACTTGACATCTAGAGCAGGGAGACTTGACATCTAGAGTAGAGAGACTTGACATCTAGAGTAGGGAGATTTGACATCTAGAGCTGGGAGACTTGACATCTAGAGTAAAGAGACTTGACATCTAGAGCTGGGAGACTTGACATCTAGAGCAGGGAGACTTGACATCTAGAGCTAGGAGACTTGACATCTAGAGCAGGGAGGCTTGATTTCTAGAGCAGGGAGACTTGACATCTAGAGCAGGGAGACTTGACATCTAGAGCAGGGAGACTTGACATTTTAAAGTTTTTAGACTTGACATCTAGAGCTGGGAGACTTGACATCTAGAGCAGGGAGACTTGACATCTAGAGCAGGGAGACTTGACATCTAGAGCAGGGAGACTTGACATTTTAAAGTTTTTAGACTTGACATCTAGAGCAGGGAGACATGACATCTAGAGTAGAGAGACTTGACATCTAGAGTAGGGAGATTTGACATCTAGAGCTGGGAGACTTGACATCTAGAGTAAAGAGACTTGACATCTAGAGCTGGGAGACTTGACATCTAGAGCAGGGAGACTTGACATCTAGAGCTAGGAGACTTGACATCTAGAGCAGGGAGGCTTGATTTCTAGAGCAGGGAGACTTGACATCTAGAGCAGGGAGACTTGACATCTAGAGCAGGGAGACTTGACATTTTAAAGTTTTTAGACTTGACATCTAGAGCAGGGAGACTTGACATCTAGAGCAGGGAGACTTGACATCTAGAGCAGGGAGACTTGACACATCTAGAGCAGGGAGACTTGACATTTTAAAGTTTTTAGACTTGACATCTAGAGCAGGGAGACTTGACGTCTAGAGCAGGGAGACTTGACATCTAGAGCAGGGAGACTTGACATTTTAAAGTTTTTAGACTTGACATCTAGAGTAGGGAGACTTGACATCTAGAGTAGAGAGACTTGACATCTAGAGCTGGGAGACTTGACATTTTAAAGTTTTTAGACTTGACATCTAGAGTAGGGAGACTTGACATCTAGAGTAGAGAGACTTGACATCTAGAGCTGGGAGACTTGACATCTAGAGCTGGGAGACTTGACATCTAGAGCAGGGAGACTTGACATCTAGAGTAGAGAGACTTGACTTCTAGAACTTGGACCATGCCATTTTTGATTTAAGATTTGACATTTTTAGACTGAAGACTTGAAATTTATAGATGTAAGACTTAATATCTTGATCTTTACGACTGAACTGCATTTAACAATTTGGTCACAGATCGTCCTTAATGTCTGACTAGCATTGTTGCTTGTCTAGAGATCTGTAATACAAATGACAGTCGAAAGACACTAGTTAAAAAAATGTCTGTCTCAATCAAAACAAAATTCTCTTCCAGGCAGCCGAGCACGTCCTGGGCTCTGTCCTGTGCGCCCCTGGCTGCTTCAGCGTGTACCGGTGCCGCGCCCTACGGGACACCCTGCCGAAATACTGCAAGAAGGTCGAGTCGGCCTTTGATTTCCTCACTAAAGACATGGGCGAGGACCGGTGGCTGTGTACGCTAATGGTGAGTACAAACATTTCAGTTCATTAACTAGCGTTGATTAAGTAGATTATATACAGTACAAACATTTCAATAGATTATATGTAAATTTGTAGTGAAAAGTAAAATCTCTCACAAATAAATAATCCGTTTACCACAAAGCAATTTATTACACGGAATGGTTAGGGCACAGCAATGATTCGACAAGAAGAAGTTGCATAGTACAATCCAAACCAAAATTTGTAATCGAAGAAAAAAAAGGCAAACATGCAAATACACTTAATACACACACACACACACACACACACACACACACACACACACACACACACACACACACACACACACACACACACACACACACACACACACACACACACACACACACACACACACACACACACACACACACACACACACACACACACACACACACACACACACACACACACACACACACACACACACACACACACACACACACACACACACACACACACACACACACACACACACACACACACACACACACACACACACACACACACACACACACACACACACACACACACACACACACACACACACACACACACACACACACACACACACACACACACACACACACACACACACACACACACACACACACATATATATTTATATATATATACACATTTCGTAAAGGTACAAAGTGGTTGGAGGATCGAATACTGCGCCGCCTCAGAAAACAGCACCAACTGCCCAGATAACTACGAGGAGTTCTTCAAACAGAGAAGACGCTGGATCGCATCCACCCTGGCTAACCTCATGCTCATGATCAAAGTTGGTGGTCCATTTTTAAACATTTTTAATTTCTCTAATGTGACGTATCGAGGAAATATTGCAATTATGCATACAAATCTTGACCATTTACACCTCAAAGAGTCGGAAAAACCTAGTTTATGCAATTTTGTCCATATGTCGGTGTGTCTGTTTGTGAACACGATAACATTAATACCGTTTTGTGAGTTTTTAAATATAAGTATTACATTTTTAGTTCTGTGTCAATGTTTAAACAATATCCGATTACTCGAAGTGGGACTTACACTACTTCCGGTTTCTCAATAGCCAAAAACTTGACTACCGTTTAAGTTAATAGGACGAAATTTCACACATGATTATTACATTAAATAAGGAAGTTTATTTCAATCTTTGAACGATTTCCGGTAAACGGAAGTGGTACTTTACTGTATTTTCGTACGAACATTTTACTTCAGTATTGTTTCGGTCAGGTTAACGAAATTTCATATATAAGTATAAGATCTTATAATTAAATTACTTTGAATTTTTGAGTATCGGTTTAGTTAGGCAGTCAAAATGTAAACACAAGTAGAATATCTTAGTCTCTTGACTTTGTCAAATTGTGAGTGATTTTCGGTGAACGAAAGTATTATTTTACGCTTTTCCGATTTTTGAAAGATTACTTATACTGGACAGATTTCTTCAATATTTTTATGTAGGTCTAGACTCGACTACATTGCATTGCGACATACAATTAGACTAAATTAGAATCGATGTTTAATTAAATTAAAAAAAAACTTAAAGGGCTAATTTTATACTCTATTATACATACATTGTTTACATACATTTGATGAGCAATTTTTTTCTCTACGCGAATGTATTCTATTTTAAAAAAATGTAATTTACGAGCTGAATTAAGATGTACGAGCCGACCCGCTGCGTATCATACGCCGCTATTTAGTTGTTTTTTTTCTACTTTTCAGTAATTTATAATTTGTGAATTCGACAGTACCAATGCTGCCATTGAAAATATTTGCTTAAAAACACTAACCCCCCCCCCCCCCCCCACGTGAAAGCAGGCTCCTCTCAGTTACCTCCTCTAAGTTTAAGATCGTTTCAAACTAAATTATCTGCCCCTAATAGCCGTCACCAAACCCGTCTCTATGATTGTAAAATGTAAACAGAGTGAACACCGCTCACCAGATCATGTGGGGGTGGGGTGGGGGTGGTAGTGATAGTGATAGAGAGGAAGAGAGGGGACTGCAAAAGGCGCACTACCCCCCCCCCCCCCCCCCCCTTTCCCCAAACCCCGACCCTACACCCCCCCCCCCCCCTCCCAGCCTCCTCTTAGTTATTTCTTAGTTACCTCCTGTAAGTTTGAAATCGAACTAAATTATCTGCCCCTAATATAAACCCCGCTCTACGGCTCTACGATTTGTAAACATTTAGCTTTGTAAACATTTAGCGTGACCACAGCTCATCAGACAATGTGGGGGTGGGGTGGGGGTGGTAGTGATAATGATAGAGAGAAAGAGAGGGGACTGCAAGGAGGCGCTTGCAGCTTGTTTTCTAACGGCTCCCAGAAGAGAATTATATATATAGATATATAGATGTGTTGTTTGCCGTGCAGGAGTGGAAGTATGTGGCCCTGTTCAACCCGAAAGTTTCAGCCGTGTTCCTGCTCTACCAAGGGCTGCTACTCTTCTCAACGATGATCGCCCCTAGCATGGTCATACTAGTTGTCGCAGGTTGGTAACACCTTTACACAATACACCCATGCCCAAGCTAGAATGCTGTTGAATGATGATTTGCTAGAGTTTTTTCGAGTCCCACTACCTGTTTGTTTGTAAAAAGAAAGTAAAGTTCTCTTTTCAAACCTGACGGTCTATAGGGCAAGTGAAGTATAGTTCACTTGTTTCTGTGACCTCGGCATATGAAGAGATAGTGTGGTCAGCATTATGCATAGCCGCCTTTACTTTCCCTAACGTGAGTTATGTATCCATCAGAGTTGGGTGAACTCAGGGACGGTCTACTGACTTGAATCCGGATTCGAACTCGAAACTTACGGGTTAGCAGTCCAGCTCTTTACGGCAAGACCATTCCGTCCCATTTGACTGTTTGTGTGGCTAAAAATTTGAAACTCATTTTGGCTCATTTTTAAATGAAGCGGTTTTATTTAAGCTTCGCAGAAAAGTGCAATCAGATGACACCGTAAGAATATCTAATTTTCAACTTAATTCGATACTTCAAATTTGCAACCCTAATATACGTTTTTATATCAGGAGATGGTACACATAATACCTAGTTACCGCACTAAGAAATGAGTTGTTTAACAAACGGTAAATGTTCACGTAATTTTTGTGTTCCCAGGTGGGCTGGCTTTTGCCTGGGACATGAACGTCATCACCAGTATAGTTCTACAGCTGTGTCTAAGTCTCGTGTTTGTGGCTGTCTGTATATTCACAACACAGAAGACACAAATGCTGGTGATATTTTTTGTTTTACTCTAACTAGTTTAAGATGGATTAGGATTTTATACTCTGACAGACTGACTTACACACATGTAGGGTTGCAGGGGTGGGGGTATTCGGGTGGGATGAAGTGCTTTAGAAGAATATATATATATATATATATATATATATATATATATATATATATATATATATATATATATATATATATATATATATATATATATATACATACATTATCATTGTTATTGCAGTCTACAACACGCTTTTTTAAAAGAAATTACATACATTCACACAAAAAAAAACAAAAAAAAAAGAACAGCAACAATAGACAAAAAAAAACACCTCCCCGTTCACGAGTTAGACACAAAGTATAACATTTGTTGTCTTCCTAATATGTATAAATATATCTAAACTATGACAAAGAGTAATCTAGCCAAAATGTAATAAAAATCTACTTCTTACCCCATATCTCGATTTAAATTGAGATTTAAATTTTTAGAGTTTAAAACTACAGACTATAAAAAAAAACTCCGATAACTTTCCACTTTTCCATTGGTGTTTTGGAAGGTTGCTAAGGGATTCACGTTTGTCTAAAGGTTGCTAAGGGATTCACGTTTGTCTAAAGGTTGCTAAGTGATTCACGTATGTCTAAAGGTTGCTAAGGGATTCACGTTTGTCTAAAGGTTGCTAAGGGATTCACGTTTGTCTGAAGGTTGCTAAGGGATTCACGTTTGTCTAAAGGTTGCTAAGGGATTCACGTTTGTCTAAAGGTTGCTAAGGGATTCACGTTTGTCTAAAGGTTGCTAAGGGATTCACGTTTGTCTAAAGGTTGCTAAGGGATTCACGTTTGTCTAAAGGTTGCTAAGGGATTCACGTTTGTCTAAAGGTTGCTAAGGGATTCACGTTTGTCTAAAGGTTGCTAAGGGATTCACGTTTGTCTACGCGATCATCATGTGCGCAGTGACGGTCGGCGCAGCTGAACACATCGTCCTTGACCTGTTTGAGAACCCGGTTATGAAAAACGTTGTACCACATAATGTAACGCTAACAGAATTCGCCACGACCAAACGACCCAACCAGCGTGAGTACTTCTTCTAGACGGACGAGAATTGTTTAGAACAATGGTGCCATGAGCATAAAATACTGTTTTAAAGCTAATTTTAAAATTACCTCTTGAAACAATGCACCGAGGTAGGGGGAGGGAATGAGTGGGAGGAGAGGCGTAGCGACCCCTCCCGGCGCCCGGGGACAAACTTTCAATGTGGCGCCCCCCCCACCTATATATTTATTTTTATAATTCAAAATAGCAGCTATAATGAGCTTATTTTGGCGCCCCTAGGTTCAGCGCCCGGGGACTTATGTACCCCCCCCCCCGTCGCTATGCCTATGAGTGGGAGGAATCAATTTATTTTTAAAAATGTATTGGAACCTGCAGGTGTGGAATAACCCTATAGGTCCGGGAAATTTTAACAGTGGCCCCTAACCCCAGATTGAATCTTTCATAGTGCGTTTTTTTCTCCATCAAAGCCTGAATTCTACCCCTTGGTATGAAGTATTTGTAAAATGTCAGCAATCTAAAAAATAATCAAATCTCTATTAGAATTATTTCAGCACCGTTCCATGAGCTTACCAAGATATTTTCCAGAGAGCCCACCGGAAATTTTTCCCGGTAGACCGGCGGGCAAGTCCACCCCTTGAAACCGGTGATCAAATTGGCAACAACAAACGCTAGTTCGCATGCTTTGCGATCAGGGGTCTCCAAACTTTTCAGCCCGAGGGCCGCATTGACTATCAAAGTTCAGTTCGGGGGCCAGTTTCTTCCAGTCATGTCTTTGATTTTTCTGGGCAAAGTTCCTCAGCTATCACACACAAACGTTTTTTCCGTAGACAAAAAGATCTCCGCGGGCCGGATGAGAGGACCTCGCGGGCCGCATCCGGCCCGCGAGCCGTAGTTTGAAGACCCCTGGACTAGATTAATAAAACTAAAACTAAAATGAACTTAACATTGGTGTATCTTTGACCTCCTGTATTTCCCACCAGACATCAGCGACAACGTGGAAGTGTCAGTGACCACGGCCTACCTGCTGTTCCTGATTGGCATATTTCTCCTGGGCGGTCTGCTCCACCCCCGGGAGGTCTACTGTCTGCTACATGGGGTCTGGTACCTGCTGTGTCTGCCGTCGGCCTACCTCATCCTCATCATCTACAGCGTGTGTAACCTGACGGATTCCAGCTGGGGTATGGCGGGGCTGGGGGGGGGGGGGGGAGATGGTGGGGCTGAGGGGGTTGAGATGGTTGGGCTGAGGGTGGTGAGATCGTGAGAGTGGGGGTGAAATGGTGGGGCTGGGGGGGGGGGGGGGGGTTGAGATGGTTGGGCTGAGGGTGGGGGGTGAGATCGTGAGAGTGGGGGTAAAATGGTGGGGCTGGGGGGGGGGGGGTGAGATGGTGGGGCTGAGGGGGTTGAGATGGTTGGGCTGAGGGTGGTGAGATCGTGAGAGTGGGGGTGAAATGGTGGGGCTGGGGGGGGGGGGGGGGTTGAGATGGTTGGGCTGAGGGTGGGGGGTGAGATCGTGAGAGTGGGGGTAAAATGGTGGGGCTGGGGGGGGGGGGTGAGATGGTGGGGCTGAGGGGGTTGAGATGGTTGGGCTGAGTGTGGGGGTGAGATCGTGAGAGTGGGGGTGAAATGGTGGGGCTGGGGGGGGTGAGATGGTGGGGCTGAGGGCGGGGAGTGAGATGGTGGGGCTGGGGGGAGGGGTGGGGGTGGGGGGGGTTGAGATGGTTGGGCTGAGGGTGGGGGGTGAGATCGTGAGAGTGGGGGTAAAATGGTGGGGCTGGGGGGGGGGGGGTGAGATGGTGGGGCTGAGGGGGTTGAGATGGTTGGGCTGAGTGTGGGGGTGAGATCGTGAGAGTGGGGGTGAAATGGTGGGGCTGGGGGGGGGGGGGTGAGATGGTGGGGCTGAGGGCGGGGAGTGAGATGGTGGGGCTGGGGGGAGGGGTGGGGGTGGGGGGTTTGAGATGGTGGGGCTGGGTGGGGGTGAGATGGTGGGGCTGGGTGGGGGTGAGATGAAGGGGCTGAGGGGCGGGTGAGATGGCGGGGATGGGTGGTGAGATGGTTGGGCTGAGTGTGGGGGTGAGATGGGCTGAGGGGGGAGAGGTGAGATGGGCTGAGGGGGGAGGGGTGAGATGGGCTGAGGGGGGAGGGGTGAGATGGGCTGAGGGGGGAGGGGTGAGATGGTGGGGCTGGGGGGTGAGATGGTGGGGCTGGGGGGTGAGATGGTGGGGCTGGGTGGGGGTGAGATGGGCTGAGGGGGGAGGGGTGAGATGGGGTGAGGGGGGAGGGGTGAGATGGTGGGGCTGGGGGGTGAGATGGTGGGGCTGGGGGGTGAGATGGTGGGGCTGGGGGGTGAGATGGTGGGGCTGGGGGGTGAGATGGTGGGGCTGGGTGGGGGTGAGATGGGCTGAGGGGGGAGGGGTGAGATGGTGGGGCTGGGGGGGTGAGATGGTGGGGCTGGGGGGTGGTGGTGAGATGGAGCCTCAGTGGGGTATGGCTTGGGTGGGTTTGTGTTGGGCTGGGGAGGGGGATAGGTTCGACGGTAGTGGGCTGGGTTGGAGCTTGGGTGGGGCTTGGTTAAGATGGCTGGTGATAGGTTAGAGTTTTGGTGATGTTTGTGCTAGTGGGGCAGGGGTTTATGAGACACGATCTCAAATACTGTTCATACCAATCACTCCCACGCATTGTCACATAAAAAATTATTCTCTAACACGTGAACTTGCATAGACTCACACAAGTTGTCAACAATTGATTCTTATACACAATCTGACACGTTCTCATCAACTCACCCTCTCCACCATACACGAGCTTACACTTTCACATGTTTTCACATACTTGCATATTTACTCGTGACTGTAACATTGTCTCTTTCTTTCTTTAGACTCACTCTCCTATTGTGTCATTACATACTGTTACATTATACCACACACACAACCCCACATAGAACCACACACACACAACAATTTCATCAACGTTTCTGGCGCTCATATAAAAACGTGGATCTCTACAGGTACACGTGAAGATAAATCAGCCACTGGCGATGTTTCGAAGTTCGAACTCAAAAACTTCATCATCCGAACTTTTTACTCCATTTTCTTGTAAGCTAAAGTTATTTTTGTGTAAAATTTAAACCTAAACGTGATTCAAAAACGTTTACAATGTAATTTATTATGAAAACTGATCTGATAAACGTGAGCTTAAAAAACAACACCAAATAATTAAATGAAATCTGAAATAGTCTGCAAAAGACTAAAAAAAAAGTTTCATGTTGGTGTAACTTTAGCTGTATCTATATTTAGTCTAATATTGAAGTTGTTCCGTGAAGTCCTTTCCGTCGTTATGTGATTATGATTTTACCATTCCGTGTGTGTATTTGTTAAAGTTTGTTATGTGATTATGATTTTATCATTCCGTGTGTGTATTTGTTAAAGTTTGTTTATTTCTGTAATTTTTATCAATATTTAATCACTGAGTGTGTGTTTTTTGTGTTAATTTGTATATATATATATATATATATATATATATATATATATATATATATATATATATATATATATATGTGCGTGTGTGTGTGTGTGTGTGTGTGTTGGTAATTTAGCGTATTTTTATTGTCACAAAAGTTGTCTGCCAAGAAAAGACAAGCAAGGGGTGGATGTCGAGGTGCAGACGACTTGTTCAAGTCTGCGACAGGTATCTGTGATGGATGACGTCGATGGGAACGATACAGGTAAACAAACGAAACAGTTACAGGTAAACAATTTTATTTTGTAACTTACTAAAGGTTGTATTTTACGGATGACATTGATGGGAACGATATAGGTAAACAAACGAAAAAGTTACAGGTAAACGGTTTTATTTTGTAACTAGCTACAGGTTATTTTTTTTTAAATTCACTATAGGTAAATGGTCCTATTTTATAATTTTACTACACGTAAAGTGGACTTATTTTATAGCTTTACCGCAGGTAAATGGTCATATTTTACAACTTTACCAAGGTAAATGGTCGTATTTTATAACTTTATCACAGGTAAATGGTCCTATTTTACAACTTTACCAAAGGTAAATGGTCCTATTTTATAGTCCCCACAGTTAAATGGTCGAATAGTATAACTTGACTACTGGTACTAGTTTTTATTTTGATGTAGCTAAGCTATTGACACCTAGAGTCACACCATTATACCAACACTAACTGGTCACATTGATTTCAGGATTTGATGGCGTCAAAGACGTGTTCGGTCCTGGAGAGTTCATCCCAGTTGACCAGTGGCTGCCGGCTGAATTTTCTGTAGGTTGCGCGGATAAGTATTTATTCTTAGAATAACTTTGCGTAAAATTTCTGTCGAGTAGAGGGCGGGTGATTATGAATGAATGTTAAAAAATATATATTAAAATTGTATGGCATAGCTTTTTTTCGTCAATGCATGCACGATACATGAAAATATTGCTGAAGTTTATTATTTTTTCCCGAATGATAATTTGAACGTAAAGCACGTTTTTTACAAAACAATCAAACAATAAGTCAGTGATGTATGTTGCGGATGTTAAAACACAACTACCTATGACAAAATGCTGACTACGTCACTGCAATATAAGCATACATTTGGTGCCACCTTTAACTTTATTCAGTGCACGTGTACTACGTTTATGTTTCTCCTTCCCCTCTCTCCCCACCACCCCCCCCCCCCCCCACTCTAGGAGAAGTACTCCACCATGTTTATAGAGCGAGGTTACGACAACACCCTGTTTATAAAAGGTCTAACTGAGAAGGATCTCAGAAAAATGGGGCTGCAAAACCGTGGTCACATTCAGTATCTGATGTCCCAGATTTCTGCGATACCAGCTTTTGAGATCGAGTACAAAGTTCCGGTAAGCGAAAATGTTTGTCGATAGAGATAAGTTTTGTAAATATAATCTTCGTTTTTAACACTCTTTTTGTCAGCTGCTAGAGCCTTGGTTTTCTACAAGGCTTTTGCTTCCTCTCACGATCTAACAGAGTTCCTTCCCCGAACGAAATGGAATCATGGAATCTATATAGAAAATATATACTTTCAACAGTGACCCCCCTCCCCCTTTCCGGAAATCCGGAAATTTTAGTCCGCCCTACCCCCCCTCCCCCCGAAAATTTCAAGTGCCCCACGAAAAAAAGGTTGGAAGATTCACAACATTCGAGTAAGAGGGGCTGTTTGATAGAGGAACGACATGGGTTTTGAACCGGTGACTTTTGGGTTAACAAGAGTAGACTGGTTTTCTTTCATATATTTTCCTCCAGGAGGGGAGGGGGGGTGTGATCACTTGAAACTTTCATGGGGGGGGGGGGGTTAGACACCAGTAAATTTTTTAATATATTACATAGTTTATTTCGCTGGGTGTTTTGTGATTGGGGGATGGTGGCAGTGCCCAACCGAAGAAATGCCTGAAAGAAACTTGTGCTAGACCAAACAATCGTTTAGGATATATGCCCGGGTACTGAAATATTAACATTCCGTTTAACAAGAACGTGTTCTATCTCCAGACCACGCCGTTTGCTAAACACAATTCTATTAAACTATCTGGCCAAGAAAATTGACTTCATATCTCTGGAACTAGGTCAACGTCCGAGACTGGCTCTATGAGATAGGTCTGGGGATGTACCAGGAGAACTTTGAACGGTGCCACATCAGGACGCTGAAGGAGATGGAGATATTGAAGGGGTTCGATGCCAGAGCTGTGGACAGGGAGTTGGGGATCAGGAAGGAAGGTAATTAGGACAGGAGATTTAACCCAGGTTTAGGTTAGTGAGGGGGGTGGGGGGGGGGGCAGAAGAGATGATAGGTTTAGTATGGTGAGGGGAGGGGCATAAGAGATGACCCATGGTTAGGAAGGTGAGGGTGACAAAAGGAATTAGTTTAGTGAGGGAGTAAAAGGCATGACCCATCGTTCATTACCTTATAGTTCCCCTTACCACTCCAATTATCGTTCTCATTGAATCGAAATGTAAAGCCTATTTTAAACATTACTGGCAATTCTGATAATGCAACAGATTGTTTAAATGAAGTTAACAAAAAAAAATCATTACTCAAATTTTATAATTTTATCCATATCGTCGGCAGGTCACGTGAAAAGACTTTTGTACGCCATACGAATGTTACGAGACCCTACAGAAAGTAAGTTTAATCTTTCACGGAAATCTTTTGTCAGTAGCGTAGCGAGGGGGGGGGGGGGGGCGGGGGGGGGACATATGTCCCCGGGCGCCGAGCTTAGGGGGCGCCAAAATGGGTTGGAAAAATAAATTGAAAGGTTGAGGGGGGTGCAAATCAAAATCTCGAGGGGGGGGGGGGGGTGCAAATCGAAAAGTTTGTCCCCGGGCGCCGGGAAGGGTCGCTACGCCTCTGTCTTTTGGTATGGTCAATACAAAGTTCCAACAGAAAGTAAGTTTAATCTTTCACGGAAATCTTTTGTTATGGTCAATTGGTAGAGCTGACAGAAGGTAGGTTTAATATTTACTGAAATCTTTTGTTTTGGGTCAATTGATTTAAGACTGAAATCCATTGTTAGAACACGTTTTGTGTTAGAATTCAGTTCCCCTGTAGAGTGAAAAGGATCACTTTTATAGCAAATGGACAGGTTAACGAATGAAAGTCTGGGTGAGTAGAGACAATGTCCACGTCACGACAAGTCGCAGCTGCTTGAAAACATGATGTCCAATTTATCTGACTTCGAGTCTCTACTGGAAAGAGAAAAATCCAATTCCTTACAACTGGTCACTTTTAATACTAATGCATTTAAAATAAAATTCTTATGTTTTTGTTGACAGCTCTTTTGTAACTAACATCTTAAAGTGCTCTTTGGTCGGCGTGGTCGAGTCGGTAAAGCTCATGGTTACTAACCCGAAAAAGTCTCGAGTTCGAACCCTCGGGCAGATGAGGCTCGTTAGCTGGGCACAGCCACTCTTCTAGGAGAGTCAACTCCAAAATCAAACAACTGCTGCCCTGTAGTTTGTTCTTGGTTGGATAAACGCTATGGAAGCAAATCCGAAAATAAAAGCAGGCTGAAATCGGAGTCAATGACATCAATGGCGCATAACCAGTTGTCACGGATCCTTAATTGTGATGGAAGCATGATCGAGTCCAGTGTTTCTTCCCGACTTTTTTCTCCGGGGGGGGGGGGGGGCACTTGATAATTTCGGGGGGGGGGGGCGGTCAACATTTTCCAGGGGGGGGGGGGGCGGACACTAGTAAAAGTATATATGTTCTATATAAATTCCGAAGAGATGCCTGGAAGAAACTCTGATCGAGTCGGCAAAAAGCTCGTGGTTGATAAATTCGAAAAAGTCTCGAGTTCAAACCACTTGGCAGATCAGGCTCGATCCCTTCCAACACTAAAAATTAAGAACGAAGAAGAAGAAGAAAAAGAAGAAGAAAATGCTCTTTAAAATGTTTTAATTCCTCAGCTCAGCAACGCGCCAACGCAACCCGTCAAATCATGGAGAAAACAAAACTGCATAAACTGCAAGAGGTCAACAACGAGGAATTCGAGTTCTGGGAAAAACTGAGAAAAACTTGTTTGGAGCCAGACCTCAAGGCGTTTGGCATCGACTCGGAGATCGCAAGTCAGTACCTGTTTTCAATCTTTGTGATAACATTGTCTTTTTTACACTTGCGATATTTGTCGCTTGCCAGTCTGATTCCCTTTCTTTTTCATTTGACATTCCATGAAAAAATACTTTCGTAACTGTAAATTACACAAACTTATTATTTTCCTTTTTAAATTACTAATTTCATTAAGCGGTTGTACTATCCTTGCTATTAGACATTCTATATTACTTGTCCTTAAGATATCTACGAACTTTAATGCTATATGATATTTTACACTAAATAATATTCTTTTGGAAAAGAGAACTACTTATGTGGAAAGTGACCTCATGATTTTGGTAGTAACTCGGGTGATGTCATTTTACTTTACGTCGTATAGTTTTTAGCTATGGTTGAGAAATATTGTTGAATGGAACGGAGTGGTCGGGTGGTATAGCGCTCGAAAAGTTTTCGGAGTTGAGTCTGTAGGACGTGCCTGAGTCTGACCAAGTCATACAATGTAAACGGCGTCTGGGCATAGTGCTGACCACACCTTCCATTCAAATGCCGAGGTTAAGCAATATCACGCTGCTTCATCGGGTCTGAAAGAGAAACTTTACTTACCATTTCGTTGTGCCTTGCTGCTGTTTAGGCTTAAAAGAAGTTGTCATCATGCTGACATCCCCTTGTCTTGAGAAACTTAGCGACTAATTAAATCACTTTATAAAACCAATGTTAAATATCAGTATTAAATGCCAACATATGCAATGTTAATGCCTGCTTTAAGATACTTTTTGGCATTCTGTAATATATGAATCGAAACATTGAGAAACTTTATCCTAGATGACATTATTATATGATATGGCAATCAATGGTATGACTTTCTATTCCATAACACATTGAACACTATGACATTCCATTTTGTCCCCATTATATTTACAGTAAACCTGGTTTCTCTGAGAAACGATTGGCTGATTTCTATGGCTGTGTCAAACAGTTTGTGGATCATACTTATATCCACCGTGTCTACAAAGGATAACCTCAGTGTACTAGGTTCGAATCCACTGGGTATGTTGAGTTTAATTTTATTTTTACTATCTAATTCAGGGATCCTGGACATGTTACATAACACGAGTGGCTGAGAGGATTTGTTAATTATTTTCTTATAATGTTATATAGTATGGTCGTCTATGAATCTGTTATATGACTACGTTTTATGTTGAAGTGGGGGAAAGTTAAAATGTCGTATGTGTGTGCTATGCTCCATGTTGAAATGTAACCCTTTAAAAGATCATTTTTAAAAATTATTTATCTGCCTCCTGCATTTTGGTTTTGATCTCAGCTCCTTGCTATAGAGCTAATAATTTACTTTTGTTGGCTGCATAGCCTAGTTTAGTTTATGATTACATTAGTGTAATTAGCGAAATGATTCTTCTAAATAAAAATACTAGAACAATCTCCCCTTAAATTAGTCTAGTAAAGCAGATGATGTTTAAAACTCCAAATGTAAAACACATAGTAAATACATTCTAAATACACTGTATACTCATTGCAAACAATTTGTGTAAACACATTCTAAATACACTTTAAAAACATTGTAAACACATTCTAAATACACTTTAAACCCCTCATTGCAAACTATTTGTAAACACATTCTAAATACACTGTAAACACATTGTTTATACACTGCAAACACAACGCAAACCCATTATAAACACATTCTAAATACATTGTAAATACACCGTAAACACATTGCAAACACATTGTTTAAATACTGCAAACACAATGGAAACCCATTATAAATATATTCCAAATACACTGTAAACATATTATAAACCCATTGTAAACACATTGTAAGCTCACCGTCAACACACTGTAATTCCAGATTTAGTTTTCCTGCTCATCTTCGGTCTAGTGTTCCTCATCCAGTTCCTGTGTATGCTGGTCCACCGTGCCAACACGCTGTGTCACAACATTGCACGCGCTCCTTACACGTGCGGCAAGCCACTAGAGACCAGCTGGTCATTCAAGGATAAGGTAGATCTATTTATAGATTTTTTGTATCTAATGTACAAGGTTTGTAAGCTACAGGGTATCATCCTTAGTGTTTCTTCCAGACTTTTTTCTCGGAAGGGGGGGGGGGGGGGGTGAAGGGGGCACTTGAAATTTTCGGGGGGGGGGGGGGGGGTAGACTTTCTTCGGGGCGGGGGGGGGGGCCGGACGCTGTTAAAAGTATATATTTTCTATATAAATTTTATTTCGTTCGGCTCTACCGCCCCCCCCCCCACCCCGAAGAGATGCCTGGAAGAAACTGATCATCCTGGACGTCTGATTTTCCCGGTAGTGTTTCTTCCAGACTTTTTTCTCCGAAGGGGAGGGCCAGGGGGGGCACTTGACATTTTCGGGGGAAGGGGGCGGACAAAAAATTCCGGGCGGGGGGCGGACACTGTTAATATATATATATATATATATATATATATATATATATATATATATATATATATATATATATTGTATATACTTTTCATTTCGTTGGGAGTGGGGGGTCGGTAGACATTCTTCGGGGGGCTCTGCCCCCCCCCCCCCCCCACGAAGAGATGCGTGGAAGAAACTCTGTTTCCCCGTCAAGGGGGAAGTAACTTTCCGGGTCATGAGAGGTATCAGGCCCCTGGGTCCTACCTGGGGAAACAAAGGCTCTATTTGATTGGTCCAATGGACTGATTTGAAAGTGTACTTCATTACGCAACAAGGAAAATGGCAAAACCTAGCTTTTAATCAGATAAAAAACAGTTGTTTTTGACGTAAGAAACGATCCAGGTCCTGTTAAAATAAGGGTGGACTCGTACACGTCTTAGAAGACAGTGTTAGAGGACTAATGCACTCCGCCTTATGACTAACTCTTGCATTTTATTCCTCATTAAATATACATTTAATTAAATTCATTTTTTTAAAGCTACACTAATTTTTTAAAAATTCTTTGATCCCTGCGACAGTTTGAGACGAAAGAGGAAGAAGACCTATATCAATCAATCCGCGAAATTAACTCAGAAGTTACTAGGTCTAGACGGTTGGCAGACTCAACATATGGCGCCACACATTCAAGTTACATAAGAGTTCAGGACGATGATGAAGCTTAACCAATAAGGACAGGCTTACAATTTGGCGCCACAAGTTACATTAGTTTAGGCACCTACAGGGCGATGATTAGACCTAATCAAACCATACAGTCTTTGCACAAACAGCTCGTTTCCTATAAGCCTTGCTTGAACATAGCTTTAGTTCATGCCATGATACTATCGAACTAAGATGATTGCTCTGAAAATATCCTTTTATGTTTTAGTATTTCCGTTATAACTATATAATTCTGATATATAATTCTGCCATAACTCTGTTCACATAACAGTTGAGCATCTATATTGTGCTGAGTTCAATCAATGAAATATAATTTATAAAACATTCGCGGTAAATATACGTTAAGCTCTTTTTGTTTGTTTAATCGTATACACTTTGACTTTATTGATATAAATTTATGTAAAGAATATTATATATTTACACAAATATTATATTATATATATATATATATATATATATATATATATATATATATATATATATATATATATATATATATACAGATTTTTTCAAATGTATGTATATGTATTAAAACACTATGTCCACCAAACTACATTTCTACAATATTTTTTATCAAATGTTTTTAATATTTCACTGGCAGATCTTTTAAATTAAAACTTTATTTGACATTTTTCATGAAATTTATACGTATGATAAAATATTCCAAATGTGTTTTAAATAAACAAGACAGAAACTGAGCTCTGTTCTGACAAATCATTCTAGAGTCAAGACGACCAGTTTCTTCCAGGCATCTCTTCGGAAAGGAGGGGGGAGGGGGAATCTACCGCCCTCCCCCCTAAACGAAATGAAATTTATATAGGAAATATATAATTTTTCAAGTGTCAACCCCCCTCAACGGAAAATTTAGTCCGCCCCCCCCCTCCTCACCGGAAAATTTAGTCAGCCCCCCCCCCCCCGAAAATATCAAGTTTCCCGCACCCCCTCCCCGGAGAAAAAAGTCTGAAAGAAACACTGAAGACGACAACCAGACGTAAGTTCGAGAAGAACCTCTTTAATAAATCTGCCCTACCTCACTGCATTAATAATTAAAGTACCAAACACGATAGATAGGCTACTTAACTGCTTTAAAGTTGCTTAAGAAAAGTTTAATCTTACAAAACTAATGGAATAAGAAACAAAAAGAATAGCTTACTATGTTAGTACTCTTAATTAAGTGAAAAAAATATTTTAAAAAAATTATGTTTTTGAGATGTTTCGTTAACTATTTTGAAAACGCAACACAAATATCCGACTTTTTAATCTTAGTGTGAGTCGACTTAAGTCATTAGCTTGCAAGTACTAACGGATGTCACAATATTAGACGCATCCTAACGGCTTCACGTGTTGCCTGTTTGTGGGGCGGGTAGATCACTGATTACAGATGTAATAACTGTTGACAGCAGACGATTAGGGAAGTAACACCTAACCACTCACCCACACAAGTGCTCGCTGACAAGGCACGCGCCTCACGCTAACAGCATGCAAGCTTTCTCAAGAAGTACTCGTCTTTATCCTATAATGGTGATGTTATTGGATAAATACACGAGCTTAGCTAATTAAAGATGTGATGTGGAATTAGTAATGTACACAAACATAATTAAGACGCAACTCGAGTTATACATTAGTCCATCACCACTACCACCACCACCACCACCATCATCATCCTTACCACCATCATTATCATCTTCATCATCATCACCATCGTTATCACCCACATCATCATCATCACCACCACCACCATCATCAGCATCATCATGATCATTATCATCATCACCACCGTTATCTCAATCATCATCAATACCATGCAACTCGAGCTACACATGAGTCCATCACCACTACCAACACCCTCATCATCATCATTATCATCGTCATCGTTATCATCATCATAGGGAACATAGGGGCCCAACCACGCCTCTCCATGATACGCGTTTTGGGCGATTCGATTCCTCCAAGTTGGGGGCCACAACATTGGGTCTGATAACCAAACTTTTCCAAGTTAATTTGGGCCTTGCTACTTCCTTCTTCCTACGGGATTCTAATCTAGAGCTTGAGTGGGGATGTTGCTAGCTTGTTTTACGTTTATGTCAGATCCTTCCCCAATTTGAGCTTTTGTATTTATTTGCTAATAGGGTATGAGGCGATAAGCTTCTTAAATTCGTCAAATAGTAAAGCTGTGAGTGATGGGTTGCTTTCCTAAATGATGGGGTGCTTTCGTTAGTGAGGGGGTGTTTTCCTCTCCGTGTAAACTTATGGAGAGTAAAAAGAGAAAATCTGTCATACACATGGTGACGTCCTGAAAGCTAATTATCTTGGTTTATTTTGCAACCGCTAGCCATTTAGTTTATTCTTGGGTGCACTAAGGCGATGGAAGCAAATCCAGAAAGAAAAGCTGACTAGGATTTGGGGTCAACGAGCCATATTTGGCGCTTAAGATGACACGTGTTGGAGGAAATCCCCTCCAATGCTATAATTAAGGACGAAAAAGAAAACTTTGCCAGAAACTTTATCATAAGATAATGCATGAGTGATTTACATTCATTTTAACAAAACAGTTGTTTATATTAACGAAAACCTATCTAAACATGGCCTTTGGATGGGGGTGGGGGATCATGTGGTCGAGCAACAGTTTAAACGTCAGGTTGAGGTTGTCAATTTAAAAGTTCGGTTCCCAGGTTCAAATCCGTACGAGGCTAACGAGTTCATTCAGCACTATTTGATACCTTACTTGTAAAAAAAAAAAACAACGTTGAGTACACAGTCCCTTTATATGCAGAGATCAAAGAAAATTTTAAACTCTACTTCATCTGCCCATGAGAAATTCAGTTGTGAGACGATATTTTACAAATCAAAACCATTTACACTGCAAAAATATATGAAAGACTGATATACGATTTATAAAAAAAAACCACGGACCCACTAAAACAGCGCAGATTGTAATAAAGCGACCCGTTTCGGAAAAAAAACAACGAAACAACCGTTGTTAACGGATGTTTTGATTAGCATGTAGAGATCTATTTTTGGACCCACGTGCCGGCGCCCTCTAGAGGATCGGAGAGTAACAAGGAAATGGTTTTAAGAAATGGATGATGCTGACGCGCGGAGCCACCGCGCTAGCAAACACGTTCGAGGGAAACACAAGGGGGAAGTCGGATAAACAAACACTGACGTCACAGGATTCGCGTTAAAGGGACATAACTCACTATCGTCTTAACTCTGAATATTTAATGTTGAGCAGTTTGCTCCCTTCGATATCAATTATTTAGAGGGAAAATCTAGTAACCCAACGTCGTTGATATGTGGCATGTTCGTTAAATTTATTTTGTGAGGGGATCAAACACGTGTATGTAACAATTTGGTTAGCCGTACCCACACTGAATTCACCTAAAGCATAGCAAGTTTTAATGTTAGTTATAAGCTTTTAAAGTTTACCCTACATAACCGCAACCAAATGCTTAAACTTATGAGAAAAGCAAGACAATGAATATAAGTCTGAATCTAGTATGAGCTTTAAACTTGACTCAACTGTACATCTAAGCCTAACTTGTTAAGCCAGAAAGCAGTGTTTCTTTCAGACTTTTTTTCCGGGGAGAGGGGGGGGGGGGGTGATAGGGGGCACAAGCAATTTTCGAGGGAGTGGACTAACTTTTCCAGGAGAGGGGACACTGGTAAAAGAATATATTTTCTATATATTTCATGGATGGGGGGGGGGGGGCGGTAGTTGTGCTTCCGGGGGGAGGGAAAGATGAAAGAAACTGACAGCAAGACCAGTGGCGGCACTGGCGAGGAGGTGACGAGGAGGTGACGAGGGTGTCGTCATGTTGATGAAGTCTCATATTCACACAATATACACAACACACACACACACACACGCGCACACACACAAACACACACACATAAACACAGACACTCACACACAAACACACACAACATTCACACACACACACACACACGCATATTGGTTTCTTGTCACACTTTACCCGCCCACACCTCATCATATTTTATTCTTAATATTTAGAAAACTAATAGCTTAAATTAGGTACTAAATCACCTCCGAAAAAGTTAACATCTTAATAACGCAGTTGATTGGCTGCAATCCCCCCTACCTTCCTCTCTCAAACACACACACACACGCAAATTGTGTCACCATCAAATGGTAGATACCTGCAGTGTTTCTTTTATAAATTTTTTGTCCAGGGGGTTGGGGGAGGGGGGGGGGGGGGGGGTCAAGAAATATTAGGGGGAAGGGTACTTAAACATCCGGTGGTCTGTAGTTTATTCCTAAAAAGGGTAGGGGAAGCGGTGGACGTTGTCTAGACGCATGCACTGCTCCTCCCACCCCCCCCCCCCCCCTTTCCGAAAAATTGCCTGAAAGAAACTCTGTCTCTCTGGCTTGTAGAAGTGACTGGTCAACAACTGATCCCAACCACCCCCATCCCATTTTCTGTCACCCTCAAGATTAACCATCGTGTCGGTGTCATTGTCTTAATCCTCCCTAATCCTACATGTTTACCATATCAAATAATCCGATCCTTCAATAATATCTCAGTAGCTTGACAAACCGAAGCAATACCATTAAAAATCCACTTCTCAAATGAGAACTTTTTTTTTATTTTGTCTTGGGAACAATACACAACGTAGGCGGAGCAACTAGGGGAAGACAATCAATGACTCAATGCAGACAAATGGCGGAGATGTGCAGCAGACGTCACATAGAAATTAATTCTCCTCAAGCAGGCGACAGTGGCAGAGAATTGAAGTTAAATCATTAAAGCGATGGGAGGCTTAAAGCTCTGGCCGAGTGGGATTATAGAGTTGGTGATTCTGCGCTAGGCAGGTCAGGTGGGTTGAACAATGAATTATTCGTGGGCGCTTATCTATTCCATTTATGTGATGAGCCAACATGAGCCAACATGACCCGACATGAGCCAAAAGGCCAATAGATCGTGGGGTGGAGGTGCGGGGGTGTACGTCTTAATCCAACTTGACTTGTTTTGTTTCGGATATT